CGAAGCTTACAGTACCTCGGGGAGAGAGTGAGCATTTCAGTAATGTATGATATCACTGGCTGACCTAAGATTGCTTACTCTTTCGACAGCATGATGACTCTTCTGTTAAATACTTAAAAAAATAATGATAACTTGGTCTAATGATGGCAGTGATGTCATCAGGAGTTGCCCAGACTTCAAAGAGGATAACCGAGTCCTTAGTAGAGGCTAAATGAAAATGGAAGACTGATTTCTAGGAGACTTGGCTAAGCTTTAATGCTGGATGATTGACCACAAAGTTTCTGGTTTGGCCAAAGCTGTAATTCTTAGAAACTGAATTCTGTCATCATAAAAAAAAAAACTGTCTCCTGAGGACAGGAGAGGAGAACATGAAGCACCAAAACATATTCCATTGCTTGCCCTAGGGGGCGGGGGGAGTAATTTCAGGTCAGTGCAAGGAGGATGGATTTTGTATTGAAATGTTCAAGTGAGGGAATTAATGGAGTGCAGAGTCTGAGGTCAATATGCTTGGTGGAGGAAACAGAAGATGAGTTTGCAGATGACTAATGATTATGCCTAATTTTTCTATGATACTGCGGGGTTGGTTTGCCACTCTTCTGAGAAATCAAACTCCTGCTTTGTTTTGCAACCAGTTATTGCCAGCATGTTGCTTTCTGCTCCAGCGTCACATGCAGCCTTGTTTACTGCTTTTAGCAACGCCACAAGAAGCAAGAAGTGAAAGGGGCATGTACGGAAGGATAGAACCTTTTGCAGGCCTCTTACATGAGTCCCAGTGGCATTTGTTTTAAGTCCTGTAGAAGAAGAATTGTTGTCTTGTGGTTCTTTCTCCTGCTAGGGTTTCATAAACATAAGTAGGTTGTGTATCAGTTGCATTTTTAAAAGCAGAATTTTTTCCATCTCTCGGGGTCCCGTTTCTCTCCCGGAGATATTTTTGTGCTGTCTGGAGGGGAGTGGAAAAATGAGCTGAGAGCATTTTATACTTGTTGAAGGAACGCCCTGGCTCTGTAATGCTGGATTGCAGGATTCCACTGCTGGCAGCCAGTGTGGAGAGGGAGGGAGGGAGGGAGAACAGTAAGCGTGAATGGATGAGGAAATGAGTCAGTAAAATGCAGGCCCATGATCCACATGCAAGGAAGCAAAGTCGGCCTAGAAGGTAAAAGTTGCAGAACAGCAGCACCCCCCCCCCCCGCCAGTGCTTGCCACATCCTCCCTCCCCCTTCTTTTTAACAACCCTATTTGCATGCTACTTTCCCTTCTTCACATCTCTACCTTTTAAGCTTACGTTTTTTGACAAGGCTCTGCCAACAGGAGTTTAAGACAGAAATGCACATTGTTTTTCAAATATGTAAAAGTAAATTAATTGTGCAGAGAGGCGCTGGTGGAGTTGAATGCAGGCCTGTGAATAGACACTAAGCAGATAGACACTTTTGAGGAGCAAGACTCTCCCCTCCAGGCAGGGAAGTCGGGGTGAAGGGCTAATGGTTCTTACTCTTCACTGATGCACACAAATGGCTACGTGTGTGTGGTTAGGTGAACTCCTGAAAATATATATGGACAAATAACTTCTGCTGACGTATTTGCAAGTGCAGATGAATAGAAGTCAGCCAACAGTCCACATTGGGGATCTGCTGACCAGATAAAACAAATTGCAGTACGATAAACTTATGCCACATAATAAATGCCAGATACTGACATTGCAGTTGTGTGCCAGATACTGACATTTGCATTGTTTCCCAGTAGTTTCTGCGTCTCTCCGAATCCTCAGGATGTATTATTGGAGGAGCTGATGTCAACTATGAGTTCTGTATTGAGATCGTGTTAGGTGTAGAATTCTGAATCATCACTATGTTCTCAGGTGGTTTCCTAGCTAATGTTGATTTCAGCTTTTCCAAATGCATTATCTAGTCTCCTCTCTGCGCAACCAGTTATTTTATTTGCCTTCAGATAGGGATACTTTTTATATGTTACTTCACTTGTACTGCAGAAAAGGGAAGGGTGATATTTCCGTTTCCTCATGTGGCCCTGCAGGTGTTGGAAATAGTGTTAAAATCCAGGTTGTTAATTGGTGACAAGTCATTGATGACTAGGGTTGGCTTTAATCTTAATTAATCTTAATGTGCGTGCAAGATGTTTGGCTAAGTGTCAGTTATTGCTATGAGAGTGGAGACAATTCATAAGGCGGGAAATAGCTGATTGACTAATAAAGGTAAAGGTAAAGGTACCCCTGCCCATATGGGCCAGTCTTGACAGACTCTAGGGTTGTGCGCCCATCTCACTCAAGAGGCCGGGGGCCAGCGCTGTCCGGAGACACTTCCAGGTCACGTGGCCAGCGTGACAAGCTGCATCTGGCGAGCCGTTTACCTTCCCGCTAGTAACTAATACCTCTGCTTTATTATCAGTCTTTGGAAGTCAAACCCACCTGGCACCAGAATGTATTGCTATCCCACAGAAAAGAATTTTTCTATCCCTATCTTCTCTTTTCTTTATGAAGCAAGCTGCTTGTTTATGTTATCTAGCAATGGTATTTAGTATTCTTGTGTCTTAGCTGGTAAGCTTCCTGGTATGATTCATCACGCTCTTTTTAATTGCCTTGACTTTGTAACATCACAATCCATCAGAGAGCTTCTTTTTTTTACTTTTAAAATTGTGAATATTGTTTCATTATATCTTTGCCCAATTTTACAACAGTTTTTGTATGCTGCAGTTGCCACTTGAGTTTTTCAGTGGTTTGAGGGTACGGCAAACTGTGTCTGTGACAAAACTCTGTTTGGCATTTCTGGTTGTGATATTTTGGGGAGCAAATAAAGGGACTGATCCTTTTTTCTGTCTGCACTTAGGTACTTTCCTTCACCTTCCTCCTATTTACTGTATATTGCTCGATGCTGAAAGAAAATATAGCAAGCTTTTAAGCAGCTCCTCGAAGAATGGGAAGCAGTTAAACTGGGAAATTCCTGTGCAGAAATGACAGCATCAAATTTCTATGAAAGCCCCTTTGAAAAAAGTGAGCAGATGTGGCCTTGCCTTCAAGAAATCTCTGTTCCCAAGTGCAGTTTGACAGTCCCTGCAGAAGCTTCTGGCTGCATCATCTTCTGCTCTCAGAGACATAGTTCATAGCAGTGGATCATTCACTGGATATCTGTCAGCTGGATATCTATCAGCCCTTGTGTGTAAAGCATACTGGGTTGGATTCAGAATCCCTGCGAGTTGAGCCCCCCTTGTGGGGAGGCATCTGCTGGAAGGAAAGGGAGGAGGCGATCTTTGCAGATTCCTGCAGCTCTTCCCCCCACTCCCACCCTGTGCCATATGAAAAGTTGCTGCAGCCGCTTGGGTGACCCTCCAGAGCAGTTGGTGGGGCAATGGGCATGCAGGAGGAAGGAGAATATGGTGGGAATTGCCTCCTTCCTCATCCTCTTTTCTATCTCAGTCCCTTCTACAGATCAAAGCAGTCCTTCCATTTGCTGAAGGGACACTCTGGAACCAACCTGTTAGTGCCTTCCTTTATGTTCAGGGGATTCTGCTGCTGCTGCTTTAGCATCGCAGATTGTAAGACTAGAGCAACCTTCCTTGCAAACTCATTTGCCTGACAATGCTCAAGGCGGTCTGTTTTGGAACAGAAGAACTGCCAGTGGGAGCACAGTAGCGTTTGTTGCAGGAGGGAGGAGCAGAACACTCCATCACATCCTGAAGTAGGATCTTAATTGGGAGCTAGGAGATTTTGGTGCAAAAAAACCCCACATCTGTGCAGGCTCTGAAAAAGGCTCCTTGGTAACCTCCTGATATTTATCGTACTGTGCGTTTATATGGTGTTTCTGTGTGGTGAGTTATTTATACTTAACCTTGGTCTTTACCCAAGATATTCTTTAGAACAATTATTACTTTTTCTTTTTAAAAGCATCCATTGTTAGGCTCGCCTCTGGTTCTCTGGTCATACCAGACCTAGACATGCCTTGGCAAACTGAACCATGCTATTTAAGTACGGGTCAAGAAAGGTTCACTGCTAGTAGTAGCCAGCAAATGAAGTTGGGCTATCTGTGTAATGCGACAATGCACTCTACTGAGTCACTGGAGAAGAGAACATTCTGCTTGCAGCAGAGGCACGGAATGCATCTAGTGCTTCTTTCTACAAAGCAAACATTTGTCTCTAGTTTCAAACAGGGTAATTTCATTTGGGCAGGGTTGATGGTGCCTGGCTTACAGTATATGGGAACAGGCTTAAGATACGCTATGGAACACTTATTTGGTACGTTGATTTGTCAGACTTCTAAACAATTTTTTTTAAAAAAATGATGCTTCTCCACCTTAGGCGAGTGGAAGGACTGCAGAGTGTTGATACCTCCTTATCCATGAGGTCAAATCAGCTGGTCTACAAAAGAATTGCAGAACAGCCAGATATATCTGCACGTAGCTTTGCACACTATTTTTATTTTTTCCAACAATGGGGATTGAGGCCAGGGTTAGATTATCGAAGAGGCAAGCAAGGCCCCAGCCCAGGGACCGCAGTTTTAATAATACAGCACAATTTGCTTTTATTATGGCCATTTATAATCTGCCCTTCACCCAAATGTCCTGGGAGAAAACACATATACATTTAAAAGCAAGAATTAATAATCTAAAACTAAGCAAACTACAACATACACAAGTTAATTTGCAATGAAAACTAAAGGCAGGAGCAGCAAAACCAGGCACTCTCAATTCCCCTCTGGTCTCACTGGAGCTTCTGCAATGGAGTGCTCCAAGTCTGAGGTTGGCAGTCCCACATCCTTGGGCCAGAGGGGCATTGTCTCCTGTCTTGTGGAAGCACTTCTAGATCTGGTCCTGCCTTCTTGTCCGCTTTGGATTTGGAGTCCCCTTGAAGAAGGGGAATGTGGCTCCAAGTCCCTGACGGGGATAGATCGACTGGCTGAGTTTCTGAAAGCTTCACGCAACAGTGTTGAGATAACTGGTTATCCTGACCTGAGTTGCAGGTGTTTAATTTTTCGCTTATTTCTTTTCTTTTCCAGGCGCTGAAGCTAAGCGGACGCCGAATAGAAAGAGGGCTGAAACTTGCCCCTTACCTCTCTGCACGGACTAGACTTGAAGAGAGGAGAATTTCTTTTTTGCTGTCTTTATACTTACCCTCTCCTTTGTGCACAAGCGCTAGCAATGGGTTGGCCGTTAATCTGAGATATCTTGTCTCTTCCTTATCCTCGGGAGGAGAGACTGAACCATGAGTCTGCAGGCCCATCCAAAGTCTTCAAGCAAGAGGACTGGGAAGCGGATTGCCTTTTTCAATGAGGAAGAAGTTCAGCAGCAGCAGCAACAGCAACAGCAGCAGCAGCAGCAACAACAGCAGCAGCAGCAGCAGCAACAGCTGCTGCTTAAAGAAGGGCAATACTTCAACCATGGGGGCAATGTGCCTTCTTCCCAGGGCATGGAGCTTTCCAAGCCAGGTGTATATGGGGGCGTCCACGGCAATGCTGCTCTGCTGAACTCTCTTTATCAGGATAGAGGCGATGCGAGGATGATCCCCCAGCAGCTGGCTGCTGCCAAGTGGCAGAACTCTCTGGTGGGGAACCGGCTACCAGAGCGCAGTGATGCCAGCTGGCATCCTCAGGCTGGAGGTTGGAATCACGGGATGGTGTATGGGGGTGCCCAGAAAGGGGGGCACCCCAATGCCAACATCCCAGGTTTCTTCAGCCACCAAGACCCCCTGAAGAGGAACCGGGAGAAAGGTGTGGTGGTGTCTCACCTGGACTTGTATGGAGATGCCGTGCAACAGATGATGTCTCATAAAGCCCAGTTAGAACAGCAAGCCCTGGTCAGGCAGCAAGCCCAGATTAATTCTTTTCAGCAAATGCAGAAGCAGCAGCAGCAACAACAACAACAGCAGCAACAGCAGCAGCAGAATCAGACCCTCCCATTGCAACCTTTCCAGCTTGCCTTTGGCCACCAGGGCCAGAAGCAGGGTCTCCCCGAACTGTTGCATGTCTTTCAGCAAGCCCCCCCTACTTCCAGCCCAGCCTTTACCGCCCAGCAGAAGCAACAAGCTCTTCCACAGTTGCAGCTGTTTGAAAACTTTTATCCGCAGCAGCAGCAGCAGCAGCAGCAGCAGCACCATCAGCAACAGCAGCAGCAGCAGGCGGCTGTGCAAGGCTTTGGCATGCAGCAACCTGCCTCTGTCACGCAGCCTCATGGGGCAGGGCCACCCCAGCCTCCTCAGCATCATATGGTTTCCCATCAATTCCACCCGGTTACCGAGCGGAACCAGGAGCTGCTGAAGGCGCTGACGGAGCCAAATCCACAGACTGTCCTTCCCCAGGCCCAGATCCCTCTCCCAAGGAGATCACGGAGGCTTTCCAAGGAAGGTGTCCTGCCAGCGTCTTCCGCGGAGGAAGCTTTGGCCTCCAAGCCAGCTGAGGAGTATTCTGGCGGTGTGTTGCCCCATCACTGGCAACCGCAGCAGCACCCAGAAGTCCAGTTTCGACACCAGCCCGAAGCGTTCAGTCACAACAAGGAGATCTATTTGCAACCTGGCAGAGCGGAGCTGGAGCATGGGGAGATGCCAGCTGGCGCCCAGCCCGAAGCGGAGAAAGCGGGCGTGTATGAGAACGCCAGGCAGGCAGAAGAGCCGGTGGGTGCCACGGAGGGCCTGGGCCAGAGAGCCAACGACTTTGGTGGGGTCAGAGGCGGCGTCATCCAGAGCACGCGGAGGAGACGGCGTGTTTCTCAGGAAGCCAATTTGCTAACCCTGGCTCAGAAGGCTGTGGAATTGGCTTCTCTTCAGAATCTCAAAGTAAGTGGCATTTCCTGACTCGCACCGTGACTATTGCCTCACCTCACGGGGTGCAACACCTTAAAAATGTTAGCAGACACCACTATTCCCCTGTGATTCTTACCCTGTCCGTTGCATTTTGCTCTGAAGATGTTGGGTGGTACTCAACAATGTTTTACCTGGAGTAAATCCATTGAAATCAATGAACATGACTTAAGTTAGGACAATTAATTTCAGTACATCTGCTCTGAGTGAAATGTAGCTGAATACTGCCTGTTAACGTCTCTAATGCCCTGGAACCAAGTTTATCAATTGTTAACATCAAAGCCAAGTACAAGGCTTTCTGCACTTAACTGCACCATTTGGAAAACAAACACAAAGCACCTTCTCTCTCTCTCTCTCTCTCTCTCTCTCTCTCTCTCTCTCTGTGTGTGTGTGTGTGTGTGTGCGCGCACGTGTGTGTGTTTGTTTGTGTCTCTGCATGTGCTATGCTTTTCACCTTATTTTTGGTCCCCTCTTCCTCTCTAGCAAACCTCTCCCACAACTGAATAAAGAGAGAGCAAATGCTAGCTCCCGTCTCCCAGTAGCCAGGCTAGCTTTGCCACTCCCTTCTGTGGAATGGGATAAGGCTGTAAAATGAAGAGAAGGAACTGCTGTGTGACAGAACACTTATCTCTCTCTTTCCCCTCCTCCTGCCACAGTAATTAAGGAAGTCTCCAGCATAAACACTTGGGAGTTTTCAGCAAAACTTTTGTAATGTCTGAGCTTACATTTTTTTAAAGATGGGATACATCAAGTGTATAGCCTGCTGAAACTGGAAACCTGTGGGGAGTTTCAGCTAATAACTTTAGTAACTGAGAGGGTTTGAATGTGACGTTTAGCTGTCATATGACAATCAGTTAACTTTGAAGTGTGGATTCAAAGTAGTCTTGCATCCTCCCCATGCTAATAGTCATTGTGAATTAGTCCCATAGATTAGTAAGGGATTGGGAGGAAGCAATAGGATGCTTGGCCTGGATGGTGTAATTACTAGTGTGTTAGATTTGGACATGGGAGTTCGAAACTTGGTAGTACTCAGGAATCTGAAACAGTAATACAGCCAAGCTTGCCTTCTACCCTCTTGCCACAGAGTATTCACTATCCGGATGGACCACCTATAGAATGCGTAGTGATGTAGGTATGTTTGTGTGTGTTTTAAATATCTAGCTAGAGCAAATACAGGGACGCGGGTGGCGCTGTGGGTTAAACCACAGAGCCTAGGGCTTGCCGATCAGAAGGTCTGTGGCTCAAATCCCCGCAATGGGGTGAGCTCCCATTGTTTGGTCCCTGCTCCTGCCCACCTAGCAGTTTGAAAGCACACAGTGCAAGTAGATAAATAGATACCGCTCTGGCGGGAAGGTAAACGGCATTTTCCGTGCGCTGCTCTGGTTCACCAGAAGAGGCTTAGTCATGCTGGCCACATGACCTGGAAGCTGTATGCTGGCTCTCTCGGCCAATAAAGTGAGATGAGCGCCGCAACCCCAGAGTCATCCGCAAGTGGACCTAATGGTCAGGGGTCCCTTCACCTTTAGAGGAAATACAGTCAAGCAGTCATGTCCTTTGATAGGCCCCATTTCAGCAAGAAGATTGTATCAGAAGAGATATTTCACCCTAGTAAAAGGGCATGAATCCAAAGAAGTCAACAGGAAATCAGATCTGATAGTTGGTAATGGGTGCAGTATCCAGTGCTGCTCACACACAAGCAAAACAGACTTCCGCTTATACAAGAGGACTTGACCTCCCTGCAGGCCCTTGCACACTCTCAAAATCTGCTCTGGAAGGTGGGTGGGTAGGTGACTTGGGAGCAAATTTTGGCTGCACAGGGAAACACAGGAAGGTGGAATCCCATTGTGTGACCAGAAGTCTGCTCACATCTGTTTGAGTATGCAAAACAATCAACCTGAAGTTCTAGGAGAATAAATGCATTGGACTCCTGGATTGTGTACACAAGAGAGAGAGAGCTGGCTCCTTTTTCTTCTTCATTGGTGTTCTTGGTAGAAGATAATGCCATTATTTACTACTTTCCCTTGCTGTAGTTCCAGACTCATAAACTTTCATGCATAATCTCTCCCAAGTCAAGAAAATTACCATACTTGTCTGTACTGGCAGTACCACTTTTAACCTGGAGGCAGTTGAATGCATGTGTGGTAAATCACTTTTGAATTCCAAAGGGTTTAGCAGCGTAGCAAGTTTGATTGTTTTCAAAATTTATCCTCCACCAAAGGAGTTGCTTGAAATGGCTTACATATAAAAAGGCAGGCAAACAAACAAAAAAACCCCAGCAATAAATCAAATTTTTAAGAATGAGCAAATAATAATAATAATAATAATAATAATAATAATAATAATAATAATAATATTTTATTTATAGCCTGCCCTCCCCAGCCAGAGCCGGGCTCAGGGCAGCTAACACCAGTAAAATTACTTTTTAAAAAAACAACAACACCAATTTAAAATACAGGTTAAAATATAATTTAAAATGCAGCCTCATTTTAATAATAGCCCATAAATCAAAACCATAAGGGGAGGGAAACATAAGGGTCAGACTGAGTTCAAACCAAAGGCCAGGCGTGACAGCTCTTGTCTTGCAAGATGTCAAATCCCGCAGGGCCCTAGTCTCTTGTGACAGAGCGTTCCACCAAGTCGGGGCCAGTACTGAAAAGGCCCTGGCCCTAGTTGAGACCAATCTAACCACCTTGCGGCTTGGGACCTCCAAGGTGTTGTCATTTGTGGACCTTAAGGTCCTCCATGGGGCATATCAGGAGAGGCGGTCCTGTAGGTAGGTATGTGGGTAGAATCAGAATCTCCTTTTTTTTTTTTTTTAAGGAATACTGGCAGAACACAAATAAAAGAGGAAGAGGAAAGGGCTATGCGTGGCTCCTAGCCACAATAGCTATGATCTACCTCCATAGTTGGAGGCAGCAGTGCTTCTGAATACCAGTTGCTGTAAACCACAGGAGGGGAGAGCGGTGTTGCGCTAATGTTCTGCTCCCTGGTTTCCCACAGGCATCTGGTTGGCCACCTTGAGAACAGGATGCTGAACCAGATAGGCCATTGTCCCAATCCAGCTAGCTCCTCTTATGTAACCTAACCTCTTGGGGCGGGGAGTTCCACATACGGGGCACCAGCACAGAGAAATCCTTTGACCATAGCTTATTGTTAGCTTATTCAGATACCTCAATGCTCACGTGATCCTTTTGTTCTAAGGAGCCAGAAACTTCAGAAGAAAGGAACAGGAGTGAGGCGGCAGTCACTGCGCCCAGGAGTGTCGTAGAGTTTGCCGGTTCTTCGCCAGCCCCCAAGAGAGCCCGGGAAGACAGCAGCCTTGTGCCTCTCATCATGCCCGTGTCTGTCCCTGTGAGGAGGCTGGACTCTCATGATATCAGTAGTGAGAAGGGAGAGGAAGGGAAGCCACAGCGGTTTGTGGCAAACGACCGAAGCTTTGCTGGAAGCAAGCCTTCCGTAATCGTCACCCGGAGGAGGTCGAATCGCAATTTGAACACAGACGTGCCAACTCAGGTAGGTTTGTGTTTGGGGTCCTGATTGTGGTAATGGGGCAATAAAGTGACTCTTACTGGGTCTTTTCTTGTTGGTTATTTGTGGCAGCTTTCCCACAGAACAGGCTGCAGCTTATTGGTTCAGGTCATCCCTCTTGTTCTCTGCCACCAGCCTGGTTCTCATTGGGCTGGCCCAAGACTTTTTGGCACCTGAGGTGAACCACAAAATGGCACCCTCCACAGTGCCAGGGAAAAGGGGCTATTTCCTCCTTAGAGAAAATAGGTGAAGCAGACTTGTTAAAAAAAAAAGAATAAATCAATTCTGGCTGTATCTGGTATTAAAATGGTGAAACCTCTCTGGCTGCTTTGACCATAGAAAGGAGAAGCAAAGGATATGAAAGCCAAGTCATCTTTGGTGGTAGGAATTTGATAGGTTGAATAAATAGCTTTCATTTGAGTGAGAGTGATTTCTTTTTCTTTTTTTAATAATAATTTTTATTAAATTTTCCTTTTACAAATTCGCCATCCCAAACAATATTCACTAATTTCAACTTTTGGACTTCCACCAGCTTTTCCACTAATCATCCATATTTTCTATTTTTATGCATTCTCTAATTTTATATTGCCATTTGATATATCCTTTCAGATCTACTTCTTTTTTACAATACATCTTTAACTTTCACAAAGCCTCTTTAAATCCCACTAGCATTGTCTGTTCATCACATATACTTTTCAGATAATCTGTGAACTTTCCCCAGCCCTCGATGAACCTGTGGTCCCTTTGGTATCTAGTCTTCCCAGTCAATTTATCCAGTTCTGCATAATCCATAAGTTTCATTCTCCATTCTTCAAGGGTCGGTAACTCCTCTTGTTTCCATTTTTGGGCCATTAATATTCTTGCCGCTGTTACTGCGTATTGGAAAAGTTTGTAATCCCTTCTATTTATCTCTCTTCCAGTTATTCCTAGCAAAAAGGCTTCTGGTTTCTTTACAAATGTGTATTTAAACATCTTTTTTAACTCATTATATATCATTTCCCAGAAACCCTTTACCTTCTTACATTCCCACCACATATGGAAAAAAGATCCTTCTTTTTCTTTACATTTCCAACACTTATTACATGTTTTAAACATTTTTGCTAACTTAACCGGTGTTATGTACCATCTGTATACCATTTTCATAACATTTTCCTTTAACGCCGTACATGCGGTAAATTTCGTATTCTCATTCCATACTTTTTCCCAGTCAGCCAATTGTATGTTATAACCAAAGTCACTGGCCCAATGTATCATAACCGAGTGAGAGTGATTTCAAGGAGGTTTTATCATGTCAAGTATGTGGACTATTTTTGAATTGTATAGAAATTAATCTTTTTTGAGAGACTGTGAAAGCACTTATGTGTCGGAAGAGACCATAGAAAGCAAATGTAAATAATTACACATGAGGACTTTACATCTTTTTTTTTCTACGTTTCTTCCTACGCAAGTGATTTTCCTAAATGTAAGTCAGGCATGGTGATCTTGCATGAAACTTTCACTGTGCCTATAAGCATTGTGTGGTCACTAAGTAGTCACAGCTGGCATTTCCCCATCTTATTTACCTGGGTCTTGATGGGGAAAATTATGGTTTTGTTGGCCTCATAAATGACTGGCAGAATACAATCTTCCACGAAGAAAAGGTTTTCTGAGAGAGGCTTATCTGTGCTACATCGTCCAAGCCTTATGTCTTTATAAGGCCACATTGTGTTTCTCACAGCTCCAACAAATTTTACTATTACATTTATCTCCCCACCCCCCAGGAGCTCAAGGTGACATGCATGTTTCCTTCCAGTTTGTTGAGAGGATAAAATAAGAGCAGGGAGGAACCATGTATGCCACTTTGGGCTCTTGTGAGGAAAAGGGGGATATAACTACAATTTACAGTTGTACCTTGGTTCTCAAACACATTGGTACTCGTACGTTTGGTACTCTTATGCTGCAAACCCGGAAGTAAGTGTTGGCAAACATTTTTCGGAAGATGAACGTCCAACACAGCTTCCACTTGAGTGCAGGAAGCTTCTGCAGCCAATTGGAAATTGTGCCTTGGTTTTCGAACAGTTTCGGGAGTTGAATGGACTCCCGGAACAGATTAAGTTCGAGAACCAAGGTACCATTGTATTTGTTTAAGGTAGGTTAGGCTAAGAAAAAGTAACTGGCTCAGGTCAGCCAGCTGTGGCTGAGTGGGAATTTGAACATTGGATTTGCCAGTCCCACTTCAACTTCACTCTGGATAGGCAAAAGCCAAGAAGTACAACTGGTTGTTAATTGATGGTGTGTCATTCTTGGATTGAATGCAATACTTTTGTGGTAGTCCTAATTAGAGCTTACGTTTTTCAGGACAGAGAGCTTCCTTTTCCTGCTTTAAAGCACCGTGAGTTGATGGTGCTATATCCATAACAACAATACCCATATAAGTTAAAACAAGCACATACTAGTTAATGGAATGAGCTGGTGGAGCAGCCATGTTATTTCCATTTGGTTGATATTGATGTTTGTCGTGGTGTGTGTGTTAGATTGAAGTACTTTGAACTGTGTGAACCAAAACTTGTTTCCTTTTCATAGCATGAAGGCCCTGCTCCAAAAGAAGAAGTGGAAGGCTTTGCACGGAAACCGAAGCAGCGGCCCAGGCCAGAGCCTCTCTTCATACCACCGAAAGCTGGCACCTTCATTGCTCCGCCTGTCTATTCCAATATCACACCCTACCAGAGCCACTTGCGCTCACCTGTCCGCTTGGCAGATCACCCTTCCGACAGGAACTTTGAGCTACCTCCTTACACTCCCCCGCCAATACTTAGCCCAGTGCGAGAGGGTTCCGGACTGTATTTCAACGCCATCCTTTCTGCTAGTGGTAACTCAGTTCCACCTCCTATGACTCCTAAAAGTGCACACAGGACACTGCTCAGATCCAGTAAGTTCCTGTTCATTGTCCTTTTCAGGGTAGAATGGGAGGAGGATCACAGCTGGAGGAAATAAATTATGACTCGGCAGTTGTAGATAGATGGCCCCTCACAAGTTGGGGTTTTTGTTTGTTTGTGGAAGATTGAACTGCATGCACCGTGATGACTTCTTATGTTAGAAAATGGTATCGGAACAGTGTATTGTTGCTGCATTTGAAAGAATGCTAGATAACAAAAAGATTGCATGGTAAAGATTAAGACCTACCCTTCTTATAGCCATATGTAACTTTGTCAAACAAAAAAATTTAGTTGACCTTATAAATAAGCCCATGAAGATTACTAGAAGATTACATGAAGAATAAGCTACTTTTCCATGCTGACTGTGAAGTAGGGAGAAGCCCTTTTTTCTGTTGCCAGCACAGGTTACTTGCCTCCTAGCAGACTACCTTAAAAAAGTAAGGAGGTGTTGCTAAGTGGTCTGATGGGATAGAGCAATCAGTCCTCCATGCCCTTCACCCAGCTGAGTTTCTGTGCTTTCCTTCCACACAGCAAGTGTGGAAACCCAGGAGACCAGCCAAGGAGAAATGGAGTGACCCATCCCTCCTCTACTAGCTCACCCACTCACCTGTATGTGGTTCTGAGTTACTGATGGCTACCTCACGAGTTGTTAAATGCATGATGATATCAAATCATCCTTAAGTAGAAGCAGGGCCATCAATTAATTGTGTCATCTTGACTTGCAGATAGCGCAGAAGTCACCCCTCCTGTCCTTTCAGTAATGGGAGAGTGTACTCCTGTCAGCATTGAACCGTAAGTACTCAGTTGGGGGGGGGGGGAGCACAGTGCATCCACTGAGCTCCAGTGCTATTTTTCCAAAAAAGAAGTTCTCTTAGAATGGCAATGGCGCCCACCTGAGATGTGCCAGAACTGAGTTCCAGCGAGTTCTGGCTGAAACAGAGCCCTGCCTATAACCAGTCCTGGTAGCCTTTGATAGCCTCCATGAATTTATCCAGTGTTTTCTCCATTGAAACATAAAAAGCTCTTTCCGCATATTTCCTTTGACATTATTCCAACGACTCCCTTGCTGTTAATATATAGCATTCTGCAAAAGTGTGCAATCATATATATTGCATTCATCCTCCAAGCAGCTAGATCCCAGATGCAGTTGCATGCAGCAACACATTTCAAGAAGGTAGCTGCTGACACACATCGCCATCCATACTGCAACATGAATTGAAATACTTGGCTTGGAAGGTGGGAGGACTTCAGTCTTGTTCTTACTACAGCCCTGTGGTTCCTCAGTCGTTCAGTTCTCACTCTGCTCTCTGTGGCAGCAGCTACTGGACTCAAGACAATTGAAGCCAAAAAAAGAACAACCCCCCAAACACTGTGTCTTTATAGAAGCAATTGGTTTCCACCATCTGGTCTCAGAAACTTGTAATGAGTTGACAATTTTATGTGTGTGTTTTAATGGGAACACACAACATTCCCATTACAGGAATACTGTATAGGAATTTGCTGTATTTAGAGCTTAAGCACTTTAACCAACCTCTGTGTGCAGAGGTTCTGTAGCTCTGAATAGCAGACATTGGAATTATTATTATTATTATTATTATTATTATTATTATTATTATATATATTATTTATACTCCGCCCATCCGGCTGGGTTTCCCCAGCCACTCTGGGCAGCTTCCAACAAAATATTAAAATACAATAGTCCATCAAACATTAAAAGCTTCCCTAAACAGGGAACTGATTAATGATGATGTTTGAGAGCTACCAGACAGGATACAAACTCCTGCTACCTGATTTAATTTCCCCCCCCATAACGGCAATTGGTTCCTGGAGGTCACAGAGTATTCCCTACATGTTACTGCAGCATAGTCCTAAACAAGACTATGCAGAAGTATGTCCCACTGAGTTTAACTGGGGCTTACTACCTGGTACATTTTCTTAGGATTGTAGCCTGATTCTGTGCAAATTCACTCAAAAAACAAACACCCATTCAGTTCCATGGGTTTTACTCTTCTTTCATGTGCAGTGGACTGTTGCCTTATTTTCTCTTTCCTTTGCCCTCTTGGAAGAGCTTGAAGCATAGGAGGAGACTGGCTATAAAAATGCTGTGCTCAGAAGTTCTCCTCCTCCAAGAGATTATCCGAGCTTAGTGCTCGTGCCCAAGGAACATGCAGGCAGAGAGTGCGGAAACAAGGCTCTCCTTTTCATTGCACTGACACGATCTCCCTTGGCCTATAGAATGTGCTGCGTTCCAGCTGGTGGTAGTTTCAGTGAGAAGCACAGTTCTTAGACTGGCAGGACATCACTTGTGCTAAACAGGCAGAGAGCTGACTGACAGCCCTCAATCCCAGTTCTCTCCAGGAAATGGGTTCACACCTCTGCTGCCCGGTGCAGCTGGGATTCCCCCAGAAGTTAAGGGCAAAGCATGCTTATATTGCAGTGCAGTGCAGTGCAGATGTGGACCTGTAAGCTGCAAGTGCAGCTCCTAAACCTGCAAGGATATCTGTGAATGGAAGTTGCTTCTGTGAGCTTTCTTCCACATGCCTGCGGTGGTGGGTGACTTTTTCAAGAAGTGGCACCAAAGCTATGGGGAGGTAGCACTAGAATTTGATCCTATATCTTTGAGTCCAGAAGTTGTCCCTTGGATCCTTTCAGGGCCTTCCTGTGCTTGATTAGAAGGAAAAAAATAGTTTCAAGGCTTAAATAAGCAACATGCAAGAGAACAATTTGTGTTTAATTCTTCAGCAACAGCAGTTGAAATCTGAACCTTAGCCAGTCTCCAAGTTAACAGATTTATTCGCCCCACTTTCAAAATAAAACAAACTGGCATCTCACAGCATTCCTTATAAAGCATTCTTTTCCAGCATAACATGGGAGTAAATGTCGTTCAGCCATACTGGCAGGCTTCAGGCCTGCTGCGCATATATATATATATATATATATATATATATATATATATATATATGCCAGAACAATAAAGCCCGTTTCCCCCCATTACCATGATATTTCTGTTTGTTTAAAAGTTTCTGTCTGTTTATACAATTTGTATCCTGATGCTTGTTCAAGGAGCTTTGAGTGCCATCTTGCGCTCCCACCAATCTTGTGAAGTAGCTTATAATGACATTAGCTGAAGACTCCAAAGAAAGCTTTGCAGGTTAGCAGGATTTTGAACCTCAAGTTCCCACATTCCAGGCTTGGGGACAGCTAAACCAGGGGCTGCCTTCAGATGGTGTGGAGTGCAGTTGCTATTCTCCTCAGCCAGCGTGGTCCGTAGTCAGGGATGATGAGGGTTGCAGTCCAACATCTGGAGGTTGCCGCATTTGACAACTTCTAGTCTGACCTGTGGCCTTCATGACCTTGGACAAAAACTCCCACCATCCCTGACTATTGGTCATACTGAATAGAGGGGAGCTGGAGTTGAACAAACATCTGGATGTTCATCCATTAGCCATCCATGCTGTAGTGATTCTCCCACTGTTGCCATGAAAATAGTCATACAGTCAGTTCGACTTTCAAAATGTTCAGAAACCAAGGTGCGGCTTCCAATTGGCTGCAGGAAGCTCCTGCAGCCAATTGGAAGCCGCACTGGAAGTTCAAGTTCCAAAGAACGTTTGCAAACCAGATTACTCACTTCTGGGTTTGTGGCATTCGGGAGCCAAAACGTTTGGCTCGCAAGTCGTTTGTCAACCAAGGTATGGCTGTATTTGTAGATTTGGACTGGACCTTTGAGTCCATAGCTATCATTTAGCAGGATGCATGCATGGAATGTGTGAAGAGTAGGCGAAGAAATTTGCCATATTTGGCTCTCACATGCTGTTACATGTAAGTAAAGGAACTTACAGTTGTGCTGCTTGTGGGCGGCTTCCGAATCTTGCTTCTCCGTTTTTAGCATCCATGCTCCTAGATATACTATACAGTATTGGGGGGCGGGGCCAAAAGACAAAGACAAAAAACTTGTATTTTGAAACTGAAACCTAGTGTTGGTTTAAACTGGAAGAAGCAGCAGCCATGGAATTGCGTACTGCCTGTTGCTCCAGTTGGAGTTTAGCTTGTTTTGCGGAGGCAAGCTTTTAACGTTAGCAAATTATCATATTAGAACTGCAGGGTGAGTCGTTTTTAAATGTGCATTTATTTTGATAGACGGATCAATGTGGGCTCCCGGTTTCAAGCAGAAATCCCACCTCTTAGAGATCGATCTCTAGCAGCCTCTGACAAGGCCAAGGCAGAACTGGTGTGGCAGCCATGGGAGGAGCTTGAAACGGATGTGTCTACTCAAGAGAATGGTAAGGAGTTTGGAAACTGAACTACTGTCTGTGATGGTTTAAGTCCTTAAAATTGCTGTGTGGTCAGCCACTAATTGCTGTTGACCATGGATCCACTGTAAAGGTTGAGGCTTGCCAAATATGAAGGGAAATTGAGGTAGGAAATTGGTGTGAAGGGATGTATAAGATGACCTTTTGGTTTTCTCTCTCCCCTCTGCCCTGACCTGCATCTACCGCTTGTCTTGTTTTGTGCTGTGACAGTGGAGAACCTGCTAACTGCTGCTTGCTCAAGTATATTTCCTGGAGGTGGCACCAACCAAGAGCTGGCATTTCACTGCTTACACGAAACGAAAGGAAATGTTCTGGTAAGTCTCCAGCAATCGTCAGTGCATCTAATTGGATTTGGCAGCAAGGCTGTTTGTATTGGTCTCAGTGAGCGAAGTACTAGCCAAGTACTTGCCAAACTTATGCACTCTGCACACTTTCACCTTCTACAAGGAGTGTCTGTGTTAGAATCCTGCGTTTTGAAGAATGTGCCTTTTGGCAGTCTCCTTCCTTTCTTCACTCATGCCTCCCGGTTTCACTGCTAGTGGTGCATCTTCCTCTTAGCCGAGTGGTAGAGCATCTGTTTTGCATGCATAAGGGGGTGGGGTCAACATCTGGCATCTCCGGGTCTATCTGAGAAGGCCTCCTGCTTGAGACCTTGGGAAACACTGCCAGTCAGAGCAGATGTTTCTGAGCTTGAGAGCAATGGCCTTACTCAGTATATAAAACATAGGAAGCTGCCTGAAACTGGTTGATCTAGCTCACTTCCGTCTACACCAGGCATCCCCAAACTTAGGCCCTCCACCTGTTTTGGGACTACAACTCCCATCATCCCCTACCACTGGTCCTGTTAGCTAGGGATGATGGGGGTTGTAGTCCCAAAACATCTGGAGGGCCGAGTTTGGGGGTGCCTGGTCTACACTGTCTGGCAGCAGCTCTCTGGGGTTTCAGGCAGGAGCATTTCCCAGACTTACCCAAAGATGCAAAGTATAAGACAGCTTCATGTGAACTGCAAATGTCTGGTTCTGTTGGAAAACATTTTTTTTAGCTGTTTGAGAAGAAGGGTCCAAAAATGAAAGTACAGATGCGCAGCTAGAAGCACCAGATTAGTTCTGCCAGTGGGCCTGCACCACTATGTCCTCACTGCCATCCTCACTCCCATTCCATCCCAGGAAATGTGTTTATGTGTGTTGGAAACTTCCCAGAGTGGCTGGGACAACCCAGCCAGATGGGTAGGATATAACAACAACAACAACAACAACAACAACAACAACAACAACAACAACAACAACAATAGATGTATTATTATTAAAGTAAAACTTCCCTTTTTCACTTAAGTTGGAAGCTGTATCTAATAGGAAAGTTTCCACTGTATAGTATTGGATCAGATTCCTATTTATTAATTGGCTCTGTTGAGTGTTACCAATGGAAAGGTGAATATAAATTTAAGAATTAAATAAGTACTTTAGCATCTCCTGCCACCTTAGGGAGACTTAATTTTAAAGTCCACCTATGGCTGCGTAATGAAACTGCTTCAGTAATACCAGTACAAGTGCTTACAGGTTTCTTGGTAAGTCTCTTCAGAGTACAGATACAACTTTAATAGTATCTCTTCCCTACATTTTACCTGAGCTCATAGCAGCTGATTTCTTGGAGGGCTGAGAATGGTTTTGGACTCCAGTTATCTCCTTTCTTTGGAGTATTGTTTACTTGATTAAACACGGGCGTTAATGGGCTCTCAGATGACTCATTCCCTGGGTGGGAATTCCTCTGTAATTGGACACGTGCTGACAAGGTACCATTATCAGTTGAGGTAACACTGCTGTGTAGGCGAAGAAATGTAATTAATTATGCCTCAAATACCTTCATGGGTAGGCATGAAGTGCTAAAACCATGCGGAAGAGGGATCTTTTTAAAATAAGACAAAATGTAATCCTTTGATTGTGATTGGATTATTTGAAATTCTGTTTTAAAGAGAGACAGGCTAACTATTCTGGCTGTCCTTTTTAGAACACGCTGCTCTTCAGCCCAAATCAGTCTTCCCCTCCAGGGGTTTGGGACTACAATTCCCATCAGCCTCAACTGGCAAAGTCATGCTGACTGGGACTGATGGGAGTTGTAGTCCAAAACATCTGGAGGTCACCAGGTTGAGGAAAACAACTCCAAACAACAATGAAAATGGATGTATGTGACAAAACAGGCTTTGGCTCACAAAACATTATGTTACTGTGTACAGTGGTACCTCGGGTTAAGAACTTAATTTGTTCCGGAGGTCTGTTCTTAACCTGAAACTGTTCTTAACCTGAAGCACCACTTTAGCTAATGGGGCCTCCCACTGCCACTGTGCCGCTGGAGCACAATTTCTGTTCTCATCCTGAAGCAAAGTTCTTAACCCGAGGTAATATTTCTGGGTTAGCGGAGTCTGTAACCTGAAGCGTATGTAACCCGAGGTACCACTGTATTTGTTAGCCTTCTTAAGGTGCCCCCAATCCTTGTTATTGCTAAAAAGACTTAACAGCTCCCATGCCACCTACTTCAAAAGGTTAATTACAAGGATGAATAAGGAGGCATGGGTCACGTTGAACCTCAGGTGGGCTCTAAATACATCCATACAGTAAACAACAAGGGTTGTGACTTCTTGATGTAAATGCACTTGTTTGGGTTTTACCGTTATTGATAAGGCTTTTTTTGTGTGTGCTCCCCCACACCTCAGGCTGCGCTGACCAAATTGCTGCTGAGGAGGTCTTTGTGGCCTGCAAACCACACGTTGGCCAACTATCACTACACAGGTATGCTTGGGAGCAAGGCAGTGGGGACAGCTGCTTCTCTACTCTCTATTTTCTTACTCTGATAATTACTGTTAATGCATTGGGGGGGGAAAATATAATTTAATTAATATTGGGAGAGCCTTAAATATCTATTTGGGAATTAGCAGCATTGGGTGGTGATATTACTGTCCTGCTTTTGCCTCAGTGCATAGTGAGATCGGTGCAAAGCTCACCTTCACGTATCCCAAACTATTCCCATTAAACAAACCTGTATAACCATGGAGGTGTGGTATTTTAGGATTGTTTATTCAGAGTTGTTGCTTGCCATGGGATAACTTAGTTGGGATTACTTAGCTGGGGTAATTAGTAGGAACCACTGAATCCCTATTACAGGTTTGAGGAGAAAACGTTTTATTTCCTTAACGGCACCAAAATGGCATTTGAGAGTAAAACTGGTTTTGCAGCTGGAATCACCAAATGCGATATTTATGGAAGAGTGAAATGGATAGAATAAAATTGTACACAGGCTGCCCAAACCCTGGGCTAACAGCTTACAATTAACAATACTTATCTTTGCTATGGCGGATACACTTATCATTGCTGCGATAGTGGCGCTGAGGATCCAGTGGGCTACACTGAAATTTCGATATAGCAGGGGGATAGTAGAATATAAATGACACAAATATGACCCACTCAAGGGCAGACAAGACAGCAAGAGTTAGGACGGAAATGGAATGAATGAATCACTTACAATTATCTCTTCTAAGTAATTGTTACCTGTGTCTGATATCAACCTTTGGAGAGGCAAATGGCTATTGATCAGGTTATCAGTTGGACAGTGCCAATTGGAAGGAAGGTTTTGTTCTCACCAAGGCTAGTCAAGGTCAAACAGAGGCTTATGTGTGCAATGCAATAGATCACGTGCGTAATTTGAAATGCCATAAATACAATGGTATTGTATTCCAGTCTCATGAGAACATGTAATTGCCTTTCAGTGAGGGCAGCCAGTCTATATGTTAGGGTGTGTACACTGGCAAAGAGCTGTACTCGTTGCACAGTCATTGGTAGAGCAAAGCTAAAGGAAGAAGCAGTTCAAGGACAGGTGCAGCGTGCAAGCTGTGTGCATGTGTGTGTGTGAGAGAGAATGGTAAACATTTTGAACACCCACCCTGCCAGATATTTGGACAGCAGGGAGACACGGAGCAAAATTGAATTATGTTATTTGTCAAGTTATTTTTCTGCATTTTGCTGTGAAGATACAAACGGTGTAGAACATCCACAAGCACCATTCCGGATCATCAGTTGCTTCTTTGTACTTGTTGTTTTTCCTGTGGAACCAAAATGCTTTCATCTGGATCCTGGAGTATCTATGACAACGCGTGGCTGATTTCAATATAGGCTGCTTTTTAGAAAAGATGCTAAAAATACCCTTTTGTATCTAATGTGGTGCGTGTGAACTTGTGAAAATGATGACTAAAGACATGGAATAAAGGAAATGGACAACTAAAATCTTAAGAGTCCTAGGTACAATTTAAATGAATCATTGTATGGGTATGGTATGCCTCATTAGTGTCAAAGTTATCTATCACTCATAGACAGAAATCAACTCCTACTGCAAGCTTTACTTCTGCGTTAGAAAATGGAAGTTATTTCTAAGGTCATCATCAATATGTTCATTTCTAAACCTTGGGTGACATCTAACTAAGCCATACTTAGGCTAAATCCACTGAAATCCGTAGACTTAAGTTCATTGATTTCAGTGCATTTACTCTGACTAATATTGGATATCTCCCCTTTCATGAAAGGAAGAAAGTGTTTTGGGGTTCACATTCACTCTTGCCCTGTAACACTGTGAAGGAGAAAGTAACACTAAACCCTTCTCTAGTAATCAAAGTGTTTTGGACCATGGGTTTGATCCTAAGTTAGGTTATACTGGTAGGAACACACCCTGTGAGAAGAGGTTTCATTCATGGGGATGCTTCTGCCACCAGAAGGAAAGGGAGGTGATTTTCAGCAGTCTCTACTTCCTCCCAGCAGTGCCTTTGCTCTTTGAAAATTTATGGCAGACGATTGGGGGAACAGCATGGAAGGCAGTGCAGGAGGCTGCATGGGGGAGATTGGTGCAGAATTTCACCCCAACCCTTACTCCATTGGGACCCTCCACTGGATCCCAGTTCCCTTAGTGAATGGAAGGAGCCCTTCCGTTTGTTTAGGGTTAGATGGCATTCAAGTCTATGTGTATATGGTTCAGCTTTGTCTGTTGCGGGAGTATGCTATCATTTGAGACACACCAGTAGTGAGACTCACTGAAGTATTTTGGGTATGCAGTGGTATAATTTGTTTAAAATAAACTAAAAAGGGGGGTTCTGTATAAATGCACAATAATTTTATGGTGAGCAGGCTAGTTAATAGAGGTAGACTACTTAATACTAAAGAGTTAGTTAAAAAGAACACAAGATTAGGGTTTTCCCCCCCCCCCCAAATGTATATCTTCAAATATGCTTGTCATAGCATTTTCCTACAAAAAGTTTTTAGAAAAACAGGTGTTCACATAAGAGCAATAACATCAATACAACCCAGACAGGGTAGCAGAGATATGCAAGAGATACACACCTTAACAATAAAACGTTTAAATGTCTGGAAATAATATTGAAAAGGTAATGAAGTTGTATTCCACTCTTTCTTTTCAGGATCAGATAAGTGGAGCACACTAGAGAAAAAGCTCTTCAATAAGGGGATTGCCATCTACAAGAAGGACTTCTTCCTGGTTCAGAAACTTGTGAGTTGCTTGTTGCTTCCTGAGTGCATTGCAAAATAATTGATCTGCCGTTGCAGGACATATGCAGGTGTCACCGGATCATTAACCTTGGGGATTGCTTCATCCTCTAGCTGGGAACTTGTGTTCCGTAGTGTTTATTCAATGGAGTATCTCACTGCCACTTTGGAAGTGAGATTTTTCTGTATACAGATAATCTCTCCTCATTAGAAGCCTTTATGCTCTCACATCCATAGTGCAGTGTGACAAGTTTTTATTTTGCTCCGATCTCTGTAACAACAAAATATAGTCACAACATACTTCAAAACGTAGTTTTCTAAAGATGATACCTGTGGAGGGAAAAAACTACAAATGAAACAGAAGGAGCATCAGTTGTGAACAAAAAAACCCCAGTGTGAGACCTGCAAAGCACATCTTAAAATATTAATAAGGGAAATTGAAAGAGGAAGGGAGCTGAAGGTGTAGTTTTGTCAGTATCTACATTGCCTCATATCATTCATCTAATTCTCAGGGTGTTTTAGACCATTATGTGAAAGATGGACAGGACCAGTGATAGGAAGGTGGTTGTGGGAATTCATGTTGGGGAGACTTGAAGTTTTGGGTATTTCCCCCCTCCCTTACACATTTTTTCTTCCAAAATTATGAAACATTGGAAGAATTGTAGTCATAGAATTATAGAATTGTAGAGTTGGAAGGGACCCCTGGGGTCATCTAGTCCAACCCCCTGCAATGCAGGAATCTCAACTAGATCATACATGGCAGGTGGCCATCCAGCCTCTACTTAATAACCTCCAAGGAAGGGGAGTCCACCACCTCCCAGGGGAGTCCATTTCACTGTCAAGAGCTCTTACTGTCTTACCGAGCTAAACCTACCCAACTCCCTCAACCGTTCCTCATAAGGCTTGATCCCCAGATCATCTTGGTTGCCCTCCTCTTCACAGTGGTGAGAGCCAGTGTGGTGTAGTGGTTAAGAGCAGTAGACTCGTAATCTGGTGAACTGGGTTCGCCTCCCTGCTCCACCACATGCAGCTGCTGGGTGACCTTGGGCTAGTCACATTTCTCTGAAGTCTCTCAGTCTCACTCACTTCACGGAGTGTTTGTTGTGGGGGAGGAAGGGAAAAGGAGATTGTTAGCCGCTTTGAGACTCCTTCAGGTAGTGATAAAGTGGGATATCAAATCCAAACTCCTCCTCCTCCTCCTCTTCTTCACATGTTCCAACTTTAGATCCCCCCCCTTCATATTGTTAGCTTTCTGAGTCTTTGGAATGGGCTAGAATTAAAGTCTATATCAATAGATACAGGGTGGTAGTCAGCTTAGTTGAAGACCAACCATAATTTTTATTTTTATACCTTCGTCTGAAATCTTCACGTCATCTGGGAGTAAGCCTTGTTTTATTTGGCAGGGCTTTCCTCTCAGTAGACATGGTTAGAATTGCACTGTAAGTCTGTGATTGATGTTGATCAAGCAAACCACCAGACAGTTGACTGCAAGCCAGGATACACTATTAGGGACGCGGGTGGTGCTGTGGGTAAAACCTCAGCGCCTAGGACTTGCCGATCGCATGGTCGACGGTTCGAATCCCCGCGGCGGGGTGCGCTCCCGTCGTTCGGTCCCAGCGCCTGCCAACCTAGCAGTTCGAAAGCACCTCCGGGTGCAAGTAGATAAATAGGGACCGCTTACCAGCAGGAAGGTAAACGGCGTTCCGTGTGTGCTGCGCTGGCTCGCCAGATGCAGCTTGTCACGCTGGTCACGTGACCCGGAAGTGTCTGCGGACAGTGCTGGCTCCCGGCCAATAGAGTGAGATGAGCGCACAACCCTAGAGTCTGGCAAGACTGGACCGTATGGGCAGGGGTACCTTTACCTTCACCTTTTTTAGGATACACTATTATTGCATGTGCCCAGTAGAATTTATGAATCTTTTCCTTCACTTGCAGCAACCTATCCCCCTTCCAGCTCCCATGTTGCAAGCAAGCTCTGTAAGCCAGGAAACAAAAGGAAAAGTCAAATCATGCCAGCCTTCAGAAAGGATAGACATGAATGAGCTCTTAGCATTGTGGCCTGTGGCTTTGAAGCACATAGGTGTGGGGGTGTATGAGTGTGAGTGACAGACATGTTTATTGATATATATATTTTCATTTTCCTCCCATTTCCTCCCTTGTCTCTTCCCCTCCTCCTCTCAATAAATTCTACAGATTAAAACAAAGACTGTGGCTCAGTGTGTGGAGTTCTATTATACATACAAAAAGCAAGTAAAAATAGGCCGGAACGGGGCGTTGATCTTTGGGGATGTTGATGGAGCCAGTGAAAAAGCGGTTAAAGATGAAGTGGAAGTAGATATCAAGGTAATTGTTCGGAATGCCAGCTTCACCCCACAAAATTATGCTGCCTACAGCTGTAACGTTTTGTGTAAAATTGCACGAGACGACTATGCAGGCTGAGCACACAAGTAGTCCGTTGGTTTCTTTTGCTCATAATTTTTATTATTTTCATTAAACTTCACAAACAACAAATATAACCACAAAAATCATGTCAGTCACAAGCTTCTGCTTAGCAAAGTACAGTAGAGAAGCAAGGAAGGTATCCAACAATGTAATTTATGAGCACTCCTGTCTTGTACATTCATTTTATCTTCAGGTAGGTGGCCGTGTTGGTCTGATGCAGTCGAAATAAATAAATTTAAAAATTGTCCAGTAGCACCTTAGAGACCAACTAAGTTTGTTCTGGGTGTAAGCTTTCGCGTGCATGCACACAAAATATCTGAAGAAATGTGCATATCTGAAGAAGTGTCTGAAGAAGTGTGCATGCACACGAAAGCTTATACCCAAAACAAACTTAGTTAGTCTCTAAGGTGCTACTGGAGAATTTTTAATTTTTTTTATTCATTTTATCACAATGATCCTTTGCCTCATCTATTACCCCACTTTCAAATGAGCATTGCACGTAAGAATACAATGTAGTACAAGTAAAATATACAGCATCAACAAATTGAATGTACTTTCATACAAATCAAGTGTAAGGAGGAGCCTTTTCCAGTTTCTCAACACATTTATTAAAACTTGAGGAGGTTCTGTTGGAATGGTGCTGACTGGACTCCATTGGACTTCTTAAGATCCCCTTCCTGGATTCTGCCTTTGCATTGATTTTTCTTTTAAAAAACTGACTTGCTTCACTTCTCCGCTTTTTTTTTTTTTTTACTCTTATGAAGAGCTCCCATAGGCTTACGCGAACTCTTCCTCCCAGAACGTATAACGAAGACTATGATCACACTGACGAAGAGGAAGAGGAAGTAGAGGATCGGTTGGTTATAAAAGAGGAAGAAGTAGACACATATGAGTTTCATGACAAGAACAGCAACACCGCATACCCCAAACCCACACAGACGCTACACACTGAGGACCAGGTAAGTGTAGAATGACTTGTGGCATGACATCTAGAGGGGTCCTGCGTTACAACATGTTTTCCTGTATTATTACAAACTTTCTAGTTTGTAATTGGTTTTTAAAAACCTCAAACTGTTAATACTTTTAATTTAATTTTATATTTACATATTTAATCCCCTTGCCTTAGTCACTGGATTCATCCCACCGCCATATAGATTTGATTGGTAAAATCTTCATCTCTGGCCATTGTCCAGCATCCACTCCCATAGGATTCCTAGTTGTTCCATCTTGCAATAGTTTTTCCTTCCTCCGAAGGTCGGTAGTCTCCTCGTGGAAAAACAGCAGGAGCCTGGTGCTCCAAGAGCAGCAGAAGGCAGAGGCAGAACTTCAAGGAGGACAAAGGAGACGCCCATTAAATATCGGAAGACTTCTCCACCTGCCCAAAAGAGAAAAAGAAAACCAAAGCCCAAACAGGACACCGTCAACAAAGCCCAGAACCAAGAGGAGGAATTTCCATGTAAAAAATGTGGAAGGTAAGAGTGGGAAAACTCAGAAACGAAAACAAGGGTTCCATTGTTTCTTTTGCACAGGAGGAAGTTTAAAAAAATGTAGAACTAAAGAAGTGGTAGCCTATTTTGCTGGGGTGGAGGCGGTGTTAATCGGTGTTTTAAAAGCTCCGATAATTATGTTATTGTAGGTTTTCATTCAGTCTTGTTAACTTTTGAAATAAAACAACTTTTCCCTTAAAAAAGAAAAGGTGCTTCCTGCAGTTGTAGAGATTCTTTGGGTACATGTGCATCTTGCCAGGAAAATGCCATGGTCCATTTCAGAAGTTATGTACATTTTGCCGATATGTATGGTATGATTCCTACAGAGATGAGATGCTTCAGGGAGTGTTTTAGAGGAGTCTTTCAGTAGACACTGAAGTCGTCATATTTTCCTGTAACAACAGATACTAGTTCAGGATTGAACATGTAGGCTTCTACTGGAGATAGACTAAGAAAAAGAATGTTTGTTGCCTGCAGGGTCCATTGTGCTAGAAAGTGTTGTTCTCTGCCAGGTTTGCATAAACCCAGTGAACTGTGAGCCTTACCTAGTACAGTGGTACCTCGGGTTACATACACTTCAGTTTACATACGCTTCAGGTTACAGACTCCACTAACCCAGAAATAGTACCTCGGGTTAAGAACTTTGCTTCAGGATGAGAACAGAAATCATGCTCTGGCAGCAGGAGGCCCCATTAGCTAAAGTGGTGCTTCAGGTTAAGAACAGTTTCAGGTTAAGAACGGACCTCCGGAACGAATTAAGTACTTAACTCGAGGTATCACTGTACTTAGAATGATGAAATGAAGAGAGTGAAATCACTATCCTTCGGCGATCACTATCCCTTGTATTCACAATTGTGTTGGCTGGTGGTCAACACTGTTTTCCAGTCACTTCCCCAGATGCAAAAGAGGTGAAGGCTCACTAGCATTCCAAGTTCTGTCTTCTTGCACTTGTTTCTGAAAGTGCCGTAGATATAATATTGAGGGTCAGCCGCGTCTGTTTTAAGGATGATACCCTCCAGATGTTGTTGGACTGCAATTCTCATCATCCCTGGTTAGGGGCCGTTCTGGCTGGGACTCTGCAACAGCTGGAGGGCCACAGGTTCCCCAACCCTGATGTGGATAGAAGATAGTCATGATACTTGAATTTTCAAAAAGCCAAATCTCTTGTTGAAGCTTGCTAAGAAAATGAGCATCAAGTAAGTAACTAGAATATCAGAAATGGAAGGATGCAAACCAACTGTGAAGAGAGAAATCAGTGATTTTAAGATCAAATTACAATTGCTGGAGATAGGGAACAAGGTGCAGATGGATTTCTACCTACATTGGAGTAATGGTGTTACTTTCACTTTTTTGTTGCTTGTAAACTTCCAGGCACATTTGCATATGAGTAAAGCATCTAGCTGAAGCCTATTCAGTGCATTAATCTGCTAGCAAGAGATTTTCTTTTTTTAAAAAAAATAGCTGCTCATATCAAGTTAAGGACCAGTTGGATGTTTCAAAAAAACATTTGACCCATGGGGAAGACCTATACAAAGGTGCCTGATCCTTTCTGTGTCCCAGCTAGGTTCCCTTTGCTGTTTTCGTCATGGAGCTCATTTCTAGAAAGCAGGCAGCCACACAGTCTAGACAATGTTTGGTGTAAAACCAGAGTGAAAATTGTAACAGTTCAACAGAACTCTTACTAAGTGCCATGAGAGGGAGGTGGCATGTCTCACCTTGCTTACAAGATTAAATTTTGATTAGTCAGTCACCTTCATGACTTTTTATATTTCTGCAATGATGTTTCATACTGTACGCCACCTTGCTATTTGATATGGTGGCATAGAAAATGCTTTCATAGGCAAATAAGATCATAGTCGGTTTTGTGGGCCTGTTAAACCTAGGCCAGTCATGGATGATGATGTACACTGGTCCCAGGTGGCAGGAGGGTTAGGCTGACTAGACTGTTAAAGAGCTACTATAGGTAGAGTCAGTGTCTTAAACATTCACCGTGGAATTATTCAAGATGCCTATGCCATTGCATAAATGGCTTTTGAAACTTGGTGTTCGAACAGGCTTGTCATGCAGCACTGTGGGCAGGAAGAAGTTGCTGTGCAAAAGATTTTTTTTTTTTTTTACATGCAAGTCCAAAGTTTCCTTGGGCATATGGAGCTAATTATGTGGTTGTTTGGATCCAGACCAGAACTCACTTGCATATGCCCCCCCCAACACACTTACCTCTTTCCTAGGAAGCCCTGGACAAGAGACAGGCCCTGTTCAGCAGACAGGATTAAACAAGGAGAGTGCAACATACATATATATTTATTTTGCTTGGTCTTGGAATGGAGTTCGGGCTTTGCAGAATGACAGGAGGCATGTCAGTCAAGCCAGGATAATCACAGAAGCAACTGGGTGTACTATTATTGGATATGATATACCTCGAGTGATTTCTCCCCTTATTGTATTTCGGTAACTGTGCATCTTACTCAGGGTTTGTTTTAGGTCTTAAGTTGTGCCTTTTTCTCTTTAAAGACAGCTTTAACAAAGATACATCAATAGTGGCTATTAGCATAAAGCTAAGATTGGAAACAACCATGTTCGTTGATCAGCAGGTGCCAGGGACAAACGGGAAAGCTCTCTCCACCAGGCCCTGTTTTTTGTTATCCTTTTAGGGGCATCTGACCAGCCCCTGATGGAGACAGAATGCTGGACTAGACTCACCATTAATCTGTGTCCACAGCTGCCTGTACCTCAGATTAAGTTAGTATGTTGGCTAAGTACAAACACATAGCTAAAGGAAATCACAAGGGTTGAGTCCACAATCACTTCACAGAATCTGCGCTACAAGCACAATATGGTTTGCTACAGATATTGCAGCACATAATCACGGAAGACTCAATTTTTTATCTAGGCCTCCCAGTTCACTTATCCTTCCCAATGGCCAACACTGATCATACATTAAGAAGAACACGGGAGCAGTTTTGTTTACTGCAGTGCAGTTTTCACTGGTGGCCTTGCCTGGGCAAGTTAGCATCTTTTGGGGAGGATGTTGAATCTCTCCGATTCACGAGAGAAACCAAGGTGAGCTAGAGTAAGTAACGGTGCTCTTATGTGTTTTCCTCCAGAATCTTCTACAAGGTGAAAAGCCGCAGCGCTCACATGAAAAGTCACGCTGAGCAGGAGAAAAAGGCGGCGGCTCAGAAGCAGCGAGAGAAGGAAGAGGCAGAGGCGGCGGCGGCAGAGGCGGCGGCTCGCAGCCGAGCTCAGCAGGCGGAAAGCAGCGAGAGCGGGAGCAGCAGCGGCAGTAGTAGCAGCGGCAGCAGCAGCTCAGATGAAGACGGAGAGGTGTAGCAGAGGGTCACAGAAGGAGGCTGCAGGAGCTGGGCTGGCCCTTTGAACCTGGGAAGATCTTTTCCATTGCTGCACCTGTGTAGCTCCACATCTGAACAGATACCCAGCCCTCCTGCTTCCACTTCCTTCCTCGCCTCACTAACACGGACTGGTGGATTTTGAAAAGAAAAGAAAACCATCACCTTGGAAGTTTCTACTTTTTAAAGAAAACCAAAATTTTATGAATCACTTTATTTATAAATTAACTGTTTCAGTACCTATTTGAACAAATGATCATGGCATGGAGTTCAGCTTTCCTTCAGTTCAAATTACCCTTCCATGGGATCTCTGGGAGTCATGAGCGCAGTGCCGGGGTGAGGGTGGGGCGTCAGGGTGAGAAATCTGCTGGGGCATCAGTTCTTGTTCCCATACTGTTTCGTCCTTTTCCAACCTCCAAGTTTTACCTGCAGTTCCACACTCATTAACTTTTTTAGTCTACCTGGTTAGGGCTCCAGCCAATACATGTTTTACCTCCTCCAACCTTTGTTACGAGGATTTATTTTCCAAAGGAAAAAGATGTCCAGAAAAATCTGGTAGGGAGCAGCCTCTGTGGGATGACCTTTGAGAGTAAAAGACTTGTCTTTTCAAGCACAGGAAGCCACATATGTTGCTAGCATTAATTCAGCCTCGCCCTTGGCTGTTGAATTTAGAAATGCCATGCAGGATTGACCATATATCTTGCACACACTTCTGGCGACTGGAGGCAGGGGCTGTTGCTGACACCTAAACTATTGGAATGGTCAATAGCTTTGAGTGCAGAACAGCTTCTGTCCCTGGGATTATGGATAAAAGGAGCTCAGGTTAATAGGATTGGGGATAGAGAACCTTAGAGAACCACTGACAATCTGAATAGATGAGATTGAGTTAGATGAACCAATGGTCTGATTTGGTGTAAGGCAGGTAAATATTCATACATTGCAGCTACTGTGGTATTTTTGCCAAAAAGTGGCAGAGAGGAAGCCTTTGGATTTCACCCTGAAGCTGCCTAATTAGATTGGGGATCATGTTGTTTATTTACCTGTTCAGTCCTTTTTCAATACCTCCACAAAAGAAAAGCTACTAAAAGAGAAAGAAAAAAATTAAGCATTGTATGTTTTCCTTCCTTCCTTCCTTCCTTCCTTCCTTCCTTCCTTCCTTCCTTCCTTCCTTCCTTCCTTCCTTCCAAAAAAGGCTTTGAAAATACCCTTATGAGAACACTTGACTGATATATTCATTCATTCCTAAGCATTTTGCAGCCTACACTGCTGTGCTTATCATTTGCCAACCAAAGAAGAACCTTCATTCAGAACTTGCACAACTAGCACTCCATGGACCCAATACATTATTTTTTTAAAAAAAATGCAAGATATCCAGCATATTGGGAGGGGGGAAACTAGACTTGCAGTGATAGTTTCCCAGGATCTCTCTCTTTGGAAGAAAACATTAGTAAAAGTGGTACCTCTAGTTGTGAACGTAATTTGTTCCAGAGGTCCATTCTTAACCTGAAACTGTTCTTAACTAGAGGCGTACTTTTGCTAATGGGGCCTCTTGCTGCTGCCGCTGCAGCGCCGGCACACGATTTCCGTTCTCATCCTGGGGCAAAGTTCTCAACTCTTCCAGGTTAGCGTAGTTTGTAACCTGAGGTGTTTGCAACTCGAGGTACCACTGTACTTTAATTGGCACCTGTGCTATCATTGACTGCAGCGTTTGCAGTTGTCATCTTACACTGTGTAGAGAGCTATCGCCACATATCAACAGGTGAAAGTCTGCTAGTTTTCAATCTTGCAGTGGAGGGAGAAGCAAAGCAGAAGGCATTTCTGTCCACCAAAAAGTTGCCCTGTCAAGAATTGGTATAGATATACATAGAGCACTTTAACTGAAAGTGTTTAAGAACACTTAAACTGAAATGTTGCTGTCAGTAGTAGGGCTGGTTTATTTATTATTATGCTGAGGGACAGCTATGATGTGTGGCCACTGGGTAGCCCGAGGATTATGACTTTTTAGTGACTATATCTGTAAATTATATTTGGGAAGGTCTAGGACTTGGCACTAAAATTCTTGACTTCACAGATCTATAACCACCTAGTTATGCAAATATGAATTAATTTATTTGCCAGTTTCAATTTTCAAACTTGGTGTTTTATTTGCTCCTAAAATAATGTTGATCTAAAATAAAGGGCTGTTAACTGTGGAGGAGGAGGAAGTAAATCTTCATTAGCTGTTAGCAGATGCAAGCCACACGAGTAGTTTTTTTTTTTAGCCCTCTAAAACCATGAGGAAAGTGAAAGCTAAGATGTTGAGAATTTTGTAAACTGCATTATTAACATTGTGCATCGGAAGTTTTGAGTGTGTCACAATGGGATTGTGTCTTTGTGGTTTTCTGGATCTCCTGAAAACTGCTGAAATCACAACTCTCTAGAAGTGTACATAGAAGTGATAGAAAGGGTTGCTATAAACTTCACCTTTAAATCCTTATTTCCCATTGCCAGTGGCAATCTGACTGACAAGTGATTATTGAAATACTTCATCCCTCTGAAGAAATTGGTTAATTTGAGTAAAGCATAATAAGTTTCAATCTAACTCAGCTAGATTGCTGTTGACATTCTGAGAGCTGAGCTGCATGACCAGAGGAATCGTATATATTGTAGTTTTTACTGGATTAAAGGTGTAGCCTCATGATTGCATGTTTTAATGTTGTCATCCATATTTTTAAAAAAATGCACAGATAGAGCAAATACCCTTTACTTCCAACTTGGAAAATGGTGGCCTTGGTAACGGTGCACATGGTTTTGCAAGCAGGAGCTTCCAGCTTTAACCCCTGGTATCTCCATTTAAGAGTTTACGATGGCAGACCTAAGAAATGCATCTACCTAAGGATTTTGGAGAACTGCTGCTAGTCAAAGGATACAGTAGTGCGCTAGATGGACCAATAGGCTTGATTCTGTATAAGGCAACTTAAAATGTGTTTAGTGCTTCATAATGGAAAAACTCTCATCCACATAAAAAATTACTGTCTGAACATTTTTCAACTGTAGTATAATGCAAATTCCACTAGATTTCTTATAGGAGTCCTTCCAGCACATCATAAAAACAGACTTCAATGAGATGGGCCAAGTTTTGTGCTTTTTCTTTTTACTCTCTTTCTTTCTTTCTTTCTTTCTTTCTTTCTTTCTTTCTTTCTTTCTTTCTTTTTTTCTCTTTTTTTTGGCAGTTTCAGAAATTTGTCAATGCAATCAGACTATTTTCTTCCCTCCTTTGTTTTGATTTGAACCTTTGGCATTCAGATTATAAAAAAATGCACAATCATTTGTGATACATCATAGTAAAGAAGTATATTTTCCCCCTTTTATACCTGGCTCATTCTGGGGTGTGTAGCTTTTAATTGCATCTTCTAGAAATGTCTTGTCTCAACTCTTCTTTTCTTTTCTTTCTGCACTTAACCTAAGACTTATTCCTGCCCCAAGGTGCAAAAAGCTTTGCTAAGATATTCACTAGAAAACAGGACAGAAATCTGCCCCCTGGTCATGCATTAATGCTCTGAAACAGAGGTCTAGATAAGAAACTGATATTTTTAATTTTTTTAAAAAAGGTCTGCCTTAAATGTGGGAATGAAATTAAAACAATGTTTTATTCTGAGAGAGACTACCAGTATATTTTATAGAAGTGAACAAAGTAGCCAGTGGGCGTTTTCTTGAAAGAAAAAGGTGGCGTGTGTGAATCGAAGTAGCAAATCTCTCTTCTTTGGGGTGGGGAATGTACATGTGATTGATCTGCTTCCTTCCCAAATACAACTTGCACAATCTAGCACAGAGCAGTTCGGACTTCCTTGTGTCCTATCTTGTAGCTATGAAAGAAGAGGCTCCACAGATATGACTTCAAAATCTTATTTATAGTATATGAATAAGAAAGATCACGAGTAAGTCTGAAAAAAGTTAATTATCCCCATCTGTTAAACTTTGCAAGAGATAAATTTTTAATGGTCTATTTTTTATTGTAACAAAATGGAAAACACGTTTATATGGGAGTGGATTCTGCGTCATGTCTGTTTCAAAGGCATGGGACATAATCCAGTAGATTAGCCATGACTAAATCCAATTGAAATAAACGGGAATTCATAGCAAGCTCTGATTTTTATTTCCCATTCCATTGTTTTTGAATGGCCTTAGGCCAGGGGTAGGCAACCTAAGGCCCGGGGGCTGGATGCGACCCAATCGCTTTCTAAATCCGGCCCACGGTCAGTCCGGGAATCAGTATGTTTTTACATGAGTAGAATGTGTGCTTTTATTTAAAATGCATCTCTGGGTTATTTGTGGGGCATAGGAATTTGTTCATTCCCCCCCCCCAAAAAAAATAGTCTGGCCCACCACATGGTCTGAGGGACAGTGGAGCGGCCCATGGCTGAAAAAGGTTGCTGACCCCTGCCTTAGGCTATGGATACATTTCAACAAATTAATATTGACTGGGCTTCCTTTAAGCAAAAGCAGAACTGAATTGTCTTTATCCCCTGTTCTTACCTTCCTTTTGATGTACATGGAGGGGCAGAGCACAATTATGCTTACTGATGCTGAACTCTGCATTTTTTTTGCCTCAATCCTGTGTGAGCATCTTAAAATGAAAACAGTGGGTGTACAAATGTATGTATGCAAGAGAAGTATGTGCAGAGGCATCTTTAGTGTGATCAGAGATCCACACATGCAAATTGTGGGAGGAGTTAGCAAATACTGTCCCCTCCTTTATGAAACACAGGTGGGAACAAAGTTCTTGCGTTCTAGAACACTGGATTTCAAGTATTGGGTCACAGTCTAGCCTAAGGTGGGTCTAAACAGCACCACTTCCATAAATAAAAATACACACTAAAAATTAAGTAGTTGATCCCAAAATACGGCTCCCCCCAAATTAACTAGTGTCCCCCATATCCCAAAAGGTTGCTAATTGCTGTCTGAAAATGCATTTGCTTCAACACTGGGTGGTAAATCAGTGGTATAAAAGCTGGGTTTAACGTGCTTGGTTCTAAAATGCTCAACGCCATCTTTAAATCATTGCAGCTGTTACTCGCCTTGGATACCTACTTCCATTATCTTGATTTTTCCCATATTACAGTGCATCTATAATTGACATTATTTTATAGCCAGTGGTCTTCATTTGGAGTTTAAGGTTATTTTAGAAACTAGCAATATCTCTGTTTTATGTCTTAGCCTGGTCAGTGGAAATATTTTATAGTCAGGTCCTAATAAATGAGAAAATCCTTACAAATAAGTTCACAAAATGTAGTAGCCCACCATTTTTGACCAGTCCACTTACCCAGCCATCTTTGTTAATAATTTGTGGCTCCTTTTGATGACCTGAAGGGGTATGAGAAATCTTCCTGTTTCCAGATACTTCCCTGGCTGGTTACCTTGCAGCTGTTTCCCTTCACCACAGACGATCAAGTGTATGGCTATCTTCAAACCTGGATGTGTGGCTCTTGATGATAACCACTCCTGCTATTGAGCTGCCAATGGTATGTGGAGAATCTGGCAGACTCCCCACTTGGTGCCTTTCTGTTGAGTAATAGTCAGCATCCTGTGAGAGAGGATGTTTATGAAGACGCTCTCTTGAGGATTAGCTGCAGCTCTACAGTATGATGCAGTTTCACATTCAGCACAGCACTTTAAAAAGTTATTTTCAAGGCGGTTAGTGAATTTGGGAAACTGGCTCGGTGCTGCAGCAGACATTAATTTCTGATTGCTGCGCATCCTTTTTTAATTGAAAAGGAACTGGACAGGAAATTAGTTTCCTGGCTGAACTGCATTCCTGTAATACCACTTTAGTCAAAATATGCATGTCTACTCAGTAGCCAGCCTTACTGAAGAGCAGATAAGTGTGCTTAAAGGCTGCAAGTCTAAGTCCAGTTACTAGGGAGTAAGACCCACTGGGTTTTGTGGCATTCTTAGAAAACATGCTGCATATCCCAATTAACATAAGATGGTTGAAGCTTCAAATTAATGCCCTCTCAGTCGCTGGGAAAACAGCAGCTTGCCAATCCATGCCCATGTTTTGTGGTAGCATAGCCAAGCAAATCACTTGTGTAGAGAACCATAATTTCAGTTATCTCTTGCATTTAAGACAGTGAAGAGGTGGTGGGGTGTTTATCTGTATTCACCTGGCTTTGCTTCCATTTTTCCACCTGCTAGCAAGGGATCTTCAGTGTATCTCAAAGGGTATATTTTTAAGGCTTTTTCTGTTTGTCAGTCAATACTTGTGCCCCAAGACTTGCCCATGCACTTACTTCCTCTACAGCAAGTTCACACAAATGGTCTTCTAGTGAGCACTTTCATAGGAGTTAATTCAGTATTTTTGGAGGATAGGGAAACAGCACAAATGCTTCTGCTTTCTTGGCTATGTCTCTTCCCCCTGCACCCCTCCCCCAAGAACCCCAGATCTTAAACCCATCCACTGGGTTCAGCTGTTCCTTTAATCCCTTCTATATGCCGCTATGCTGGAGCTGAAATCCCCCCAGAACAGTGACTGTGCAACTTCATTCATTTCAGAGGGGCTGCTCAGAATTCCTGCCCCAAGCTGCGTTGAAATGAGTGAAGGTTGCGCGGCTGGCTATAGTGCATGATAGGCTATGGCTCTAATCTCCAGCTGCTTACATTTCCCTTCTCTTCTGCCCCGACCCACCCCCTTTCTGGAATATGGGATTTATATCAACAGCTGAACCTATAAAGATGTGCAGCTGCTTATCATGAGAGAGAGGTGAATATATATTTTTGTAAAATATAATTGTGGCTTTTGTTTTTAATACCACCTCTTTTTTTGCATCTTCCAAGTTTTATGGTTGTTCTGAAGCTGAGATTTGGTACAAATTGGCTTTCCTGAGTCTATGTTTTAATTCGTAATGCTAGAGTTTTGTGGTGTACAGAAATAGTCTGTCTTTGTGTAATTATTGTATAAATGCTTTTTATCAAAAAAAATAGAGCTTTTATTTTAACAAACATGCAGGAACTGCCTTTTGTGTATTTACTGCACCTTTTAAAAGACTGTTACATATTAAAATATTGTACATACAAAAATATTATATACCTCTTATGTACAGATGTGATAGACAATTTATTTTTGTGCTTTTGTTTTTTTACAAAACATTAATACACTAAGAAGTCTTGCTGATGTGATTTAATGTACTCATGTAACTTATTTACTTCTGAATGTTCCATTGTATCTTTTCAAACCTTTTATTAAATAAGGTTTAAAAGCAACATTTGTAACCCAAGTTTTTTAAAATTATTATTAAATGATCTGAGAGAGGGTGGTAAGCTCTCTCTCTCCATCTACTAAGGTGCTTTTGGTTTGTTTTAACATAATTAAATATGATCCGTGAGCACCAAGGAGTAGGTGTTGTTTTCCTGCTGGCAGTTTTGATTTTTGTGTATGATTATTGGCTCAGTCTGTCCTCATGTCAATAATAATAATAATAATAATTTTCATTTCTTACATTCTGCCCTTCTTTTCATGAGAACTCAGGGCAGCTATCAGTAAGAGTACAGCATTAAACAAAAGTAGAACCAAAGTGCTAAATAGAACACACTTTCTGGAATAGGGCTGAAGCTGTTGGCTGTAGTAACAGCATGGGGGCAATCTGACCTCTACAGGAGCGGAGATGTCCTGTCTCTTGTGGTTAAGCCCCTGGGCCGTAATGATCAAGGGAAGTACAAGCACAATCCCTGTAGATCAATCCGCTGCTACTGGGAAAGGCGATCTTTCTCCATGTGTGGATCCTAACTTGTTTAGGGCTTTTCTGTGATAGTAACAAGACCTTCAGTTGTGCCCAGTTACTCACTGTTAGCCAGTGCAGCCCTTTGAGGATTGGTGGTGTTTGATCCCCTCCCTGCTTATATGTTGAATGCTGTGCATGACAAAAGGGTCTAGGACAAGGTTGACAACTCCACATAAGCTACCTTTATGGCAGTTTGCAGCGATCATGCTTTTAGACCTGTACACCTGTCAGATGACAGTCAGCTTTGCTAGCATTAATCAAGTTTCCTGTGCAATGGATAATGCATCGTCAAATATTGCCTCACTACATGCTTTGAGCAAACATGTGCAGCCTGTGGGTTATGTGAACCTTTGTTCAGGTGCTTTTTCTTTATTCTGCTCTATAGGTGAATCTTATATCAGGTTTCACAGACACTGTCTTCAAGGTTTCTCCCCAATATTTATTCTGAGTAATTTCTCGCAGGGCACTGAAGTTATACTGTTTTTAATAAATTTTTATTAACTTTCTTTTCTATCATTGCAAACATTTCATATCAATAACATATTACACTTCTTCACCCCTTCCCTCCCAGGCTTCCCTCAGCTTCCATTTCTGGTTTGTTACCCCCTTATTACACACTGCTGCTTCTTACAATCCACTATATCATTTCTTCATTTTAAAATGTTCTCTATCAATAAAGATGTGAGTGTTTATTTAAATCCTGCCATCAAGTCAATGTTCTTTCTTTGTTTCTGCAAATAATAATAATAATTATTATTTATACCCTGCCCATCTGGCTGGGTTTCCCACTCTGGGCAGCTTCCAACCGAATATTAAAAACAATACAGCGTCAGACATTAAAAACTTCCCTAAACAGGGCTGCCTTCAGTTGTCTTTTAAAAGTAAAATAGTTGTTTACTGTCTTGACATCTGCTGGGAAGGTGTTCCACAGGGCGGGTGCCACTACCGAGAAGGCCCTCTGCCTGGTTCCCTGTAACCTCACTTCTCGCAGCGAGGGAACCGCCAGAAGGCCCTCAGTGCTGGACCTCGGTGTCCGGGCTGAACAATGGGGGTGGAGATGCTCCTTTAGGTATACAGGACCGAGACCATTTAGGGCTTTAAAGGTCAGCACCAACACTTTGAATTGTGCTCAGAAACGTACTGGGAGCCAATGAAGATCTTTCAGGACCGGTGTTATATGGTCTCGGTGGCCACTCCCAGTCACCAGTCTAGCTGCCGCATTCTGGATTAATTGCAGTTTCCAACTACCTTCAAAGGTAGCCCCACGTAGAGCGCATTGCAGTAGTCCAAGAGGGAGATAACTAGAGCATCAAAGTCACTGTTGTCCTTTTCTCGTAGTCTATCTGTCAGGAGTGCCGGAAATAGAATTTGCACATGCATGTGTGCACACACACTCCAGCCCACTGCGGCGTCTGCGGGACCGTGAACCAGCCCAAACCACACAAACTTTGCCGACCCCTGATGTGGAAGATATTTTTTATAATCATTTCTACAAGAGGAGATGAAGCTAAAATGTATGTTTTCCCTTTTCAGTTCTCGATAACTCAGTTTTAGGGATATTCTGGAATGCACCTCTCTTTATACTGGTTATTACTGAACAGTTTCACTAGTACAAATGAGAGCCAAGATCGTCCTTTGTATAAAACATTTATTTCTATTTTAAACAAGTTTCACAAACAGTTAAAACCAGATCTAAATAACTTGACAAAAAAGTTTGATAATATGATCATGCTATATAATTATACTGTATAAAAACCAATTATCATCATGGTAGGTGCTTAAAAATTGCTCTCCATAGAGTTTACTTTAGAAGCAGAGTCTTCTAATGGAGCCATAATGGTCAACAAGTGAGAGCTGCCAACTTCAAATGCCCTTTGACATGTTTGCATAAATGATTGTACACAGTAGCTAGACAGACTGGGAAGCAAATGAACCCCTTTCCAGTTGATGCCAATATGTTTTATATTTGTATAAACCCCCATTAAATAAGATTAATGTAAGCCACCCCCATTTCCAATGAAGTTGGGGATTCAACATAGCTTACAGGTTATCACATGGGTTTTCCATGTTCAATAACATAGGCTAAATAATCACAGGAAAGGCAAGATAGTTCAAGCAATGAAGGAAGGAAGCACTTTTAATTCTTTGCTGTACCACACAGCCCTTTTCTCTGAGCAACCACATACCTGCTAACCATTTGCTTTGCTTTTCACCAAAATCCAGTGCATAAATTTAAAGTGCAATTTTTTTTCAGAAACACCCATTTTTATTTTGGCAATTTGACTTTTGATTTGTTCCACAATAGTAAAGTAATCCATTCACCAAGACAAGAAATGGCATCTATTTCTCACCAACATGTGACCTCTTTCAACCAGTAAAGATTCTTATATTAAATTAATTCCTTTGGAATAATTTGACAGCAATGTCAAATCAACCTGATGCTTGGACTTATGTAGAAAGGATCTTAAGACTACTTTCCTAAATGTGCCTATTAGATGATAATACCACCACCATCCTCTGCCGGACGATGTAGCTTTAATGGGTCTATGACCTTCATGAGATTGCAGACCACTATTGACACTCATTGTAAGGGCTGCTCCAGTCATTCGACAAGATAGGAGTCCCGTCCTGCATTTCCACACCATGTTGGCCATGTTTGTAAAGTTTAAGTAGTAGATGAGTGCATGCAATTGGGAAATGAGGCTCCAGGCCACATTCTCTGGGTGCTTGCATGCATATGTCTCCTATTCAAGTGCTGTAGAAAAAAAGGCACAAGTGACACACTGTGGAAACATGAGGGTCTATCTGTCTTGTTCTGCAATGTGGAACAGCCCTAAGGAATCCAGGAAGCATGGGAAAGCTTTTTCTGCAAAACTGCTGATATTAAATGGCATGGCTACAAAAGTGTTTCTCTGCCAGTTCTACGCTTATGCCTAACAGCTTTCCTTATGAAGGATATTAAACGCTTGGCAAATTTCAGAAAAGTACAGCACCCAAGTAACTTAAGAGTGACCTTTCATTGCCCTTCTAGCCTTTAAATGAAAACCAGAAAACCCAAAATTCCTCCTGTTAAAATTCTCTAACCCCTCCTCCTGAAGGAAGCTGAACTGTTCGACATTGATTAAATTTAAATCACACTTGCACACAAGAAATTTCAACATCAAGATGAAGGACAGGCAACTACTGTTTGCTGGGAACCTTGGGAACAGATTTCCATAGGGACAGATACTACTGATAACTGCTTACATTAAAAGAGCTGCTGCCACCTACACCACATGCTGTATTCTCAAACAGTTTCATGCACTACTTCCCACACAGCCACTCACAAAAAGTTTGGACCTCTTTAGAAACCTTGCTTGACCTGAAGAAAAACCTCTTATCTGCCCCTCATCTTGCATTGTCCGTCTTTTCTGGCTTATTGCATGCTGAACTTGTGCCATCATCAAATGTCTTGCTAACTCCTGACAATTTTTAAGTAGCGGCTAATTGTGACACCATCTTTTGGGTTCTCCAATATTCCACCTTTTCCAACACATTGCACCAAATTGATGGTGATGTTTATACATGCATGAGCACAGCAGTGCAAATTCAGGACGAAGAATAATGTGCATAGAAATGCATTACAATTTTCTGCTTGAACAAAACTAAAATCAGGTAAAACGGGAGCTCCAGTCTGGATGTCCTAGCATCATTATTACTTAATTTTTCAGAATTATTAATGTTGTTTCACAAATATCAATATAATCCATGATTTTTAACCTGAGTTACAAAACTGATCAATGGGAGTGAAAAAACGTTTTCTGCTAATTGTTTCAACCATGACCAAATGCATTAAAAAAGGCATGTTTTTCTTAAAAGTTATATAAAAATAATGTAAACAGTTTTGGATTTCTATTTTTCCTCTCTTAAACCCCCTTGGCTTTTTCTTCTAAATCCTTTATGTAAAAGTACACTGCAACAGTATTAAATTAACAGACCAGATGCAGACAGCTGGGCACTATGGACATCTTTTCTATAAACAACTGTAGCTTGAGCTTGAGCAATAATAATATGTGGACTGAGAACTAATTCGTCCAGCTAATCTCTAGTGAGAAACAACACCAGCTGCTAGTAGGAGTTTAAGAATGTGTTACTTTGGGAAAGCTTAGCACCAAGACTTAAGAAACTCATTTTGCTAATTAAAGAGCAGATCTATTTGTTGGTCATCTGTTCCGCTCCTAGACCAAAAACTTACATCACACCACAAGATGTGCGTAAAGGTTTATCCAAAAGACTATTCCTTTGTAACTATTTTGTTTCTAATAACATTAGCAGAGGAACTTAGAGCAAAACACTGGCTTCAGAACAATCATATGTAAGGACAGCACAGCTATTAACCCCATTGGCTTTAGCAAGAGCATATGATCTAAATACTACCGATTATCCAAAATGTATTGCATCTCATTCCTGAGTATATTTACGCACATTTAACAGTGCATATAAGCAACAACTGTGAAACTTCAGGATGGCAGAAAATGTAGAATTCTGTAGCCGAGAGGATTGCTTACTAAAATATTTTATTTTCGAAAAAGGGTATTTTGGCTGCTAAGATTACCGGGTTCCCTGCATAGCTAACACCACACCAAAGTTTAAGCATCCTGCAGTTTCCTAGCCTTCAAAATAGATCCATAAAGTTACTAGTCTACAAATCTTACTAACTACCCTGTTCATGTGGTCATCTAGGGCACACTGGTGATTTCAAAGGGGCGGGGGGAGAGAACAGCCTCATTTCCAATATACAAAAACTAGCCTGCCTGGAGGAAATTCTTACTTTGCCACAGGCTACCTGACAAGTGGCTTCTAACAGGCCTGCAGGATTTATTGCCAGCCCTGAATCCTGAGAGTGCACCCCATGACATTTGCAGAAATAGCATCTCCCACTCCAGTTCTGCAACACCCATTAGCCTCCTTACCAGCAGAACCTGTTTGTGGGCTTCTCACAGGCATCTGGTTGGCCATTGTGAGTACAGATTGTTGGTCTACTACATGAGTTTAATCCAGCATAAGGGCTCTCCTTACGTTAGAACCAATCCTGGATTGCTACAGCGGCAAGGACAGCAAGTAGGCAAATGAGCTATTCAAGCACAAGGGCGGAGAATGCTATACCCACACAGAGCTTCACTGCTCTACGCTGTTAAAGTAACATGCGCTAGACTGGGAGCTATCAATCCATTCACCCATCTATTCACAGAAGACTAACTGGTTTTCCACCACTGGCCTGGGTTACTAAACTGATGTACAGTCAAAAGTTGAGAACGAGGTCCCTAGTGGGAAAAACAATGCCAATTAAGTCTGATTGGTGAATATGCATATTTTAAAAAATAATTTATTTGCTTACAAAGATTTATAGAAATAATTAGCATGAAATATAAATATACACTATGGAAATAAAAATGCTATGCTTCTTAGAAAAGAAAAATGTGTTTCTGGGGGAAAGGTTTTATTTATTGGCATAGTATATTGCAACTTTATTTTTATTTATTTTTAATCCCACAAATTATTATTCCAAATATCCTTATAGGGAACTAACTAATGTAACAATAGTAAAAAAAATAATAATTCCATCACAACACTAATCAAATTCTAGATTGTTGAGGCTAACTATTCTAGTATTATTATTTTAACTGAGAGCTGCATCCACTCTTTGCCAACACTTCAGGAGCCACAGGTCAGCAGCAGGTGTGGCGAAACCTTTGTCATACACACAAATAATACATAGTCTACTACACACACAGCCCCCATGCAGATCGACTGAGGAGGGGTTATTGTCCCTCTCCACCCATCAAATTATCAATCTGGTGATAAGGGAGGAAACTATTTTAATCCTCACTAGGGCACTAGGTTCCATTGACACTGTATAGGGGGTGCACGTGTGCATTTGCCATCAACATTGGAGGGGGTGGGGAGGAGACAAATTTTGGTTTGGGGTGGATCAGGCCCCCTGCGACCGAGTGTTAGCCACCTCTGTTGTACATTAAGAATCTAAATGGGATTATTTTTACAAGCCCAAAACTGGAGGAGCATTCTCTCACTTAAAAGAATGGTTAAAATCAGACATCTTGTCTAATAAATCAGAGGATAATATAATGATTGGCTAATGCCTAATAAAAAACAGACAGATTTGGGACAGTTGGTAGAGTACCATATGATTAACCAGGTGCTATACAACTGCCGTGTTCTACAGTTTGTTATGATCCAAAGGCTAAAGTGGCTGTTAAAATATAACTGTTCTAGCTAATCCAACAAACAAGTTAGTTCTGGGGCAAATTTGCAGCCCATAGTAATGTCTGGAATTTACCATTCATACAAATCTAACATGGGACCGTATCTCTTTTCTATACACAGACTGAATGGACCTGTACTTATGAATGTATAAATGTGGCTTCTCCTTAACATCAGCTGGTGATTTATGGACTACAAATATTACCAGACCTTTTACTTGCTTACTTCTTTTTAAAATAACCTGCATGTACGGCTTTGCTTGAAATCATTGGTTGATTTCAAAGAACACCCTTTGAGGTTGAACCACATTCGGGCATTTGATATATTTTCTTATATACATGCATCATACATCTTATCAGGTTCATCAGTGTTATTTATTGTATACTGATATGACAGCTTAGCATATATATTTAGTTTATTAAATTATTATTTTTTAAATCCTTTCTCCCTTAACTTCTTTGTTCATCTAATTTGGTTAATGGTTAAGACTAGATTAGATTGGTTAATGGTTATGACTAGACTAGATTATTTTTTATTTTGCATATCCAAAGGCTAAATTATAGATATTATTGGGCTGGGGATTAGAGTATGTGGGAAATGATGATGTAATATGGACCACATTTTATGCTCCTATATCACATGTTAACAATGAAATTGATTGTCAAGAGTCAAAATCATTTAGTAAGAAGAACTGGAGCAAGGGAAGAACTGACTGCAACATGCCATTACAGGTTAATCTCTGCATTCAGGTTAACTACTGTACTGCCTACAACAAACTGAAACACCCAGTTGCTCTCCTTTAAATTTTTTAGGACTGACTTTAGAAGTCCAATGGTATAAACAAAATATCTATTGGTGACAGGAGTTGAGGGCTTTCTTGTTTCATGTAAAAATAGAGCGCATTTGAGCACACAGACTACATACAGCCTCATTTCCTTTCCCTTCTTTTCTTCCTACAATTTCTTCAGCTGTCATTCACCATTGATTGAACCCTGAAAGTGAAGCTTATTTTCAAATAAGCTGCAAGATTTGGGCCTCTTTAAACAGCTGCTGCCCCTCCTTACATTACTAAAATTCCAGACTGATGAATGATTCTGCCATTCAGTAACACACCAGCAGCCCAAGTCTTTAAACAAAGGATGCAAAATTCAACCCATGAATCAAATCAAACTGATGGTCAGGAAATTAGTGGTTCATCTACAACCACATATATTGCCTTCACTTTTCCAACTAATACGGTACATAAAAACAGTAAGTGGCTTCCAGAAACATTGACAATTAAGGTACCAACACAGCTCAATATGTTAAGTACTGGGTTCCTAGCAGCAACAAATTTTGTTTTTTTAATCTACACAATGAGTTTCACTTTGTAAGAGGCAAAACCAACATTGTCACTAGTGTCCATATGACTATAATTAGCATAGCAAATAGGAAGAAAAAGATGAGACACTGTGACAAACATGTAGAGCATACCAAGTTTCAGGTGCTTGCTTTTTAAAAAAAGCAGATGGTATAAAATAGTCTAATAAAAAATGTTGCTTCTCCCCCCACCCCCAGTTTTAAAATGATTAAAAACTCTGCTGAACAAACACATTAAACAAATGTGCCCATTACTAGGAAGACTGAATTGCGGTCCACCCCCTCCCCCAAAAAATGTACTTGCAAGAATTACATTTAAATTAAACAAACAGTAAACGCTCATAGTAAAAAAGACAAATGCTTCACATAATTGGCATCCCCAGTTTTGGTAAATAAGTCTTTGGGTGAGAAAGGAGAACACAGAGATAAGCCAATTTAAAATGTTGCCCAAGATTTTCTTCAAAGACATATTTATACAAAAGTTTCACATACTGTATAGAGCTGGAGCTACAGCAATAATTTAATAGGGAACAAGAAAAAAGTCACGCTGGATTTTCCCCTTCTTCCCCTTCTTCTTGCTTAATAACTGGAATACCTAAAAATGAGAGTGGAGAACCGTTAAACATGTTTTTAACTAAAACTTGAGAGAAAAACAGTACAAACAATAAAACTAACTAAAACTGCTGCCCAGGCCTGACTTAATAACATGCCAGCAATTAAGCACTTAGGAAAATGGACTGATCAATGCACCTGTGGAATATCATAGTATTCTAGGAGCACAGATATTAAAGGACTGAAGTGAAAGAATACAAGTGAGAAACAGTTTCCAATGAGAAAGCTTCAATTCTACCATCACCATCTAATGGAAGAAAAACACAGCGATTCTAGCATGCTTAATAACTGCCTCTTTTCCCTGGGCTGACTACAAATTGTTCCAGAAGCCCAGAAAAGCCTTTTCCAAGGGATTTTCTATTGTCTGAGCAATACACCATAGTCCACCTACAATTTGTTGCCTGAACCCAATATTTGTATCTGATTGGAAAATGGAAATATATGAACAATATAATTTTTCAAGGTGATGTATTAACTGCCAATCTCTAGGGAATACTGGATAATTTGGGCTACATAGCAAAATAGATATTTTAAAGCACTAACTGACAGAAAAACTATATATGGGTCTGTTTTCTTAAAAAATTAAGATATCATTACATTAACCACCCAATATACAGAAATTCTGGACAGAAAAGAATTCAAATCTTTACCAAAATATCTTTAATGGGGAAATGATGAGTTAATACTTTGCTTGTTTAACTGATGAAGCTATTCTTGCTGAAGAGCAAGCAGGATTTAGACAAGGCAGATCCGCTATAGACCATTGCTTTGTACTAGCCCATTTTATAGATAAGTATGTTAAGAAACCAAGTGGTGTGCTATATGCAGCTTTCATTGATTCAAAAGCTGCATTTGATTCAATCTCTCGAGTAAGATAAGTTGAACTCTTCAAGTATAGATAAAAGATTATTGTTCTTGATTAAAAACACTATATAAAAACACTGTGCTGAAATTGCGTTGCCCTACAAATGGGTAGCTCACAGGATGCATACCAACCATAAAGGGAGTTAAGCAGGGTTGTATCCTAGCTCCCGCACTGTTTAATTTCTATATAAATGATATTGTCCAGAGGTTAACATCCCCAGAGTATCATGCCCCTAAACTGGCCACAAAAGCCATCTCTATATTATTATACGCAGATGATGCGATACTTCTATCTCAAATAAAAGTGCACCTAAAAAGATTGAGAATGAGAGCATTCTCAGGATACTGCCAAAGAGAACATCTGGCTGTGAATTAAGAAAACTAAAGTCATGGTGTTTTCAAGAAACTATAGGCCCGTAGATGGTGTATGGATAATCAGTTGATTGAACAAGTTAAAAGTCTTTAAATACCTTGGCTTTATTTTTCAGTCAACAGGGTCATGGGGAGCACATTAGAAATATACAAAGAAAAAAGCTTCTCAAAGTGCCAAAATTCTGACACGCTTTTTCCATACAAAAGGTGGCAATCACATACCATCAGCACTTGAAGTGTTTACAGGTAAGCCCTTAGCACAGTTATTATATGGGGCTCAGATTTGGACAGGTGAACACCTTGGATCTACAGAAGCTGTTCAATTTAAGCTCCTAAGGCAATTTTTTTCCTGTTCCATTCTGTGTTCCAAATGCTTCACTGCGCTTGGATGCTAATCTCCCCTCTGTTGAATTACAGACTTGGTGTAGGACATTTAATTATTGGCTTTGGCTAAATTTAAACCCCACCGGTCTACTACCCTTAGTATCGCAAGATTGTCATGTTTTTAACACTGAGCTTCAGTAAAGCAAATAATAATGATATTGAGCGACAGAATAATTTGGCCCCGATAAGGAAATTTTGTCCATGGTATGATTATTTTCCACCTAGTCATTTTGACACAATGGCACCCTATTTGCAAACCTATCTTCAGTTTACTTTATTTTATTGTATTCCTATGGCTAGTGGCTGATGCAACTAAAGATTCTTCTTCTACTTTGCTTTTCTCATCTGCTAAATGCCACCCTGCTCCTACCCAGCTCTCACCATCAAGTTTCTTGAGTTTGGGCACTCGTTTCGTTGCTTCCTCAACCCAGGCACTCTGCGAATCAGCGGAATATTTCTCTTCCAGTGGATTACCTACAAACACCAGATCCTCCAGTAATGGCAACTCTGCCAGCCTCTGAAACTCTGCTGCAACCACAGAAGGAAACAAAGTTGTGTTATGAAGAACACAGAAACCTCAGAGTTGTATGAAGACTCCTCTCGAGACCAGAAGACTGCAGATGTGGGACCCAGACTGCCAGGTCCCACATAAACCTGCCTGCATGCTAAGGCCATCCTTGAAGGCTCTTCTTCAGGTGCCCAGTCCTTCATAGGTCAGATGGGTGGCTACCAGAGAAAGGGCCTTTCCCATTGTGATTACCTGCCTTGGTGGAAATTCACCTGCCACCCAGTTGTATGTCTTTTCAGCACCAGGCAAAGTTTGTTCCCCAACACGTCTTTTAAAATCTTAGCTGAATTTGAACTTATTTTATTGTGATTTTATGCCTTTACTGTTCTGCTGTTTTCATCAATGCATGATTTCATTCCCCACCCCCTAATATAATTTAATATGATTTGTTAACTAACTTGGGAATAGAATTGCTGAAGGGCAGGCTATATACACTGTCGAAAATAACTACACATAGACACACATACTTACAGCTTTAGGAATCAACTCATTTACCAACCTAAGTTACCTGCTATGAACTCATTATAAATTACCAATATATTTATTGAGAAACAACTCTGTCTTACCCCAGTCTTTTACCAGATTATTTGACATGTAGAGAATCTTCAGCTTCTTCATCACATGGAGCCCTTTCAATTTCTCAATCAGGTTGTATGAGATCCACAGCTCCTCTAAAGTATCCCCAACTGCCTCCTGAAAGATGATATTGCTTCAGAAAAGAATGCTCTGCATTTTCCTATTATTATGTATGTATGTATGTATGAGCACATCAAAGAAATAAAAGTTTTCCTCTGGAGTCCCTACTTCCCCACTAGCAGGCTGCAAGTTGAGACAAGCCAACGAGAGGACAACATCGTAATTCAGAGAGAAACCAAGACCTTCAGCCTTGACATCAAGACAGAGGAGAATTGTATTCCAAACATCTGGACATGAAAGAAGACACAGAACTGTTTGCAGATACCTGCACATTAGATGACTAGTTTCTTAGCCAGCTCATTAAGTATAAAAGTAAGTCTTGCAGAGAACGGGCAACATCCAACAAGAGGATAAATTGAATTTACATCTCCAGATTCCTACTGCGATATGTAACCACTGGGCTAGATCATTCAACTGTTGTTCCTCATCAAGGAAAACTGGTCATGATCTGGGAAATGGAATGGGTGCAGTGTTGGCAGAAGGCTGTGCCAAAGGTGCTTTATCTACACAGTTACTAGGGGAGTTTTCATTATTGGTGGGGAATTTGAACAGTTGCTACAAGTATTGATGATGTTCCTGCATCTACTATATTTTTGAACAGTGTTAGCATCATATCCTTGCACAGTAACATATGGCGAACTACTCTGCAGTAGTATATGCAGCAGTCTTCTTAAGAGGGTTACTTACCAGTCCATTCAGATTCTTTACGTTGTTTCTTCCCAGTGACAATATCCGTAAGTTTTCTGCAATAGAAACAAAGCAGGTATTTTTCTACAGTGCTAGTTATTTAAGTAATGTGGAAACTTCATACAAGCCAATGCCAAGGAGCTATCTTTTATTAATCCAGCTGTGTCAAAGGGAAAAGTGTGTAGTCCAAGAATGGAAACAGCCACTCACTGAATGGACACAGTTTGATACTATCCTGAATGGATGCTCTAACCCAGGACTGAGGAATCTGTGGCCATCCAAAGGTATTTTGGATTATAACTCTCATCATCCCTAACCACTGCCCATGATAGATGGGGCTAATGGGTACTGGATTGGAACAGAATTTGCAGTGACACAAGTTCCTTAATCAGGACGCGGGTGGCGCTGTGGATTAAAGCCTCAGCACCTAGGACTTGTCGATCGAAAGGTTGGCGGTTCGAATCCCCGCGGCGGGGTGCGCTCCCGTCGCTCGGTCCCAGCGCCTGCCAACCTAGCAGTTCGAAAGCACCCTCGGGTGCAAGTAGATAAATAGGGACCGCTTACGAGCAGGAAGGTAAACGGCGTTCCGTGTGCTGCGCTGGCTCGCCAGATGCAGCTTGTCACGCTGGCCACGTGACCCGGAAGTGTCTCCGGACAGCGCTGGCTCCCGGCCTATAGAGTGAGATGAGCGCACAACCCTAGAGTCTGGCAAGACTGGCCCGTACGGGCAGGGGTACCTTTAAGTTCCTTAATCCTGCTCTAACCATATGGAGAGTCAGTCATCTATAAAGTCTGGTCATTCAGGGAGCTGAGTTTCACAGCACCCCTCCCCTACTTCTGCACAGTAACATAAAAAAACAATAATCAGTTATTCATATGGATGGAGCTTATGGAGCTTATAGGCATCCAGCATCTCACCCATGTGTTTAGAATCACTATGTGAGATGTTTTCCAAAGCAACCATAGTAGCTGGACATCTTTCCCAGCAAAAAAGCATAATGAATGAGGTGTCTGAATATATAGGAAACGACTGCTTAATAGTGTCTCCCTTCCTCAATGCTCCTGGCAATATTACTGTCTTAATCTGCACTTGGTGATCAGATACAAATGGATGCAACAGCATTGATGAATTTTGCTCATAGAACTAAAAAAGCAGCAGCTTACAAGTATAACATGAACCTAGAATATACCTGTCCATGTGTTTGAGATATCCACACACATTCCTCAGTGGGACCTATACCAAGGAAGTGGTTCCCTTCTCTGGTGTGTATATGCATACACATGCATGCGTGTTAAGGGGGTTAGAAGTCACTCACAACCCAAATCATGGCATGCAGATTTTCTTCATCAAATCAGCAGTCAAACATAATTATTCAATGCTTCCTAACACTCTACTGCTTATATCAATTTTCAAGTGAAATCCTGATTTTCAAATTATCTGTTTTCTGCTGCAGTAAATGAGAAAAATTAATGTCAAATGCCTATTTTTTAAAGATGGTATCAATTGTTCAAAATCAGTCAGTAAATGTAAACTTAGGGTCTGTTCAAATGCTATTTTGAAAAAATATGATCTCCCTGATCCTACAATATATACTATACAGAGGATATCCTGATACAGATGTAACCTTCTAGGAAGGTGGGTGGCGAACCCAAAGCTGAGTCCTGCTCCCAATTCCAGTGCTCATAAAAATTTGCAGCAGGAGGAGGATCTGAACAGACTCAAAGTATGAAATAAGTGAAGGTACATATAATGAAGCAGCTTCAAAAAACACGTATTACTTACTTAACCCATTCAAGTTGGCAATTTTTTCAATGCAGTTTGTAGATAAGGACAGCTTTCTAAAATGGGGGACAAATCCAGAAATTGTACATGAAGAACACTAAAATTACCAAAGTAGTGGTTCTTTTACAAATAACAATTGCTCAGAATACTACATTTTGGCTTCCCAGAAGGAAGAACACCCCCCACCCTCATTCTTTGTTCAAGGGGTTCTCCTGAATCCCACAAAGCCTATTTCTGGGGGCACTGGGGGAAGAGAAGGGTAACATTGACCATTGTGCAAGCAGAAGTCCTCGATTAGGGCTTCCTCTGATGCGGAATCTTGGCCTATGTTTTTATATGTGCTTTTTTTACTGTCTATGTTACAGATGGAGAACTCATGGTCCTCCAGATATTCAAATTTGGCTTCAACTTCTGGTTAACCACAGTTTCTAGTGTCATGCAACTAAAGTGACCATCAAATATTGTCAGTAATGTATCTTGTTAGAGAAGAATGTGGGAGTTGCTACAGATGTTAAATGCTGCATAATATTTTGTGCTGCAAACAATATTTATTTTTGTTACTATTTGTTAAAATAATATGGGTTAAAAAAAGAATTATGGTTAATTTAAAACAAGCCAACATCAAATCCTGATTTCTGAAGCTGAATTATTTAAAAACTAACAATTGTTAATGTTAATCAAAGTTTAGATGCCATAATGTTTAGGCAAACACAGAAGTTAGAATGACACAAGCTGTGGTTAACCAAAAGGAAAAGTAAAATCTCCAAACTCCTCTTCCCAGGCACATAGGAGGAAGCATCTGGGAAAAGAGGGTGTCATAGTTTTGTGTGACATCCAAACATAACAATTAACAAGTCAAGAAATATGAAAATTGCTTTTAAAAAATGAACACTAAATTAAAACAAAAAAGCTGAAGCAATGAAGGCAGAAATAACTTAAAGTGGCTCCCACCAATATACAGAACGTACTCGCAGCTAACTAGAGTGGAAAGAGATGCATCCATTTTCTCTATAGGGGGAATCTGGGCATAAAGTTTCACTTCTTTGGCCTCCGATGGCTTCTGACCATTTTTTTCTTCCTAATTAAAAAGAGAAACAGATAGAGGAAGACATCCTATTCAGTATATAATTATGAATGTTCAATTTAGTCTATTGTGGCTATTCAGCTGCATAATAACTTGCACTAAAGCTATAGTTAATGTTGACTGAGAATTATTCATGCAACCTTGAATATGTAGTAAAATGCTTTTTTCTCGGTCTGGAATGCTGTTACTTTACACAGTATGACAAATTGATTGCACTGAGTTGGGGACATCACTGGTCCAAAATATGGCTGTGTGTATTGTCACTACTAATTCATTACTGTTTAAGGTACTGCACTCAAGAGCAATCACGGCCTTGGTTGAATCCCAACAGAACCAGATTGTCATGAGCAAATTACACTTGGATAGGAATGAAAAGCTTCCTGGCCTTGTATTCAGTGATTGTATGAACTCCTCTGACTAAATTGTGAATTTACAAAGGAGTATCACAAAAAGTTTTAACAGAAGGGACAACATTTTCTTAATATAAAACTGTAATCATTTCTTCTCAAAATGATACCGGAGCTCCTATATTCCACCTAGTCTATTTTTTTGCCTATCCATTCAGAGAAGACATTATTCTAATCATTTTGTCTTTGACTCAGACATTTAAATACGTACTTCACTTAATGTAAGAACATGATCATACTCATGGTAGTTCAGGCAAGTGGTACATACAACCCAGTGCCCCATGTCTGATTTGTGTCATGTTCTGTTACAACAGTAATTTGAAGACAACAAACAAACTACTCCATTTGCTGACAACCCTTTCTACTCATCAGCCATTTAATATCAGGAAAAACTAGATCTTTACATTGTTAACTGGCATCCTGCATAATGGTGAATGAGTGTATATCAAGCATCTTCCAAATCTAGTTGTAACACTGATTGTTACTATTCTGTCTGTACTGAATAAATGCTAAATTGTACTAATAAGCAAATACTTTCAAAATGTGAAAAAACTTGTAGTAGTTCATTTAAAAGGGAAAATAAATAAGAGAAATAATTGATAAAATTAATTTACAAATTTAGAACATTTTCTTTATGAAGTGTGGTTGCACATGTCCTGTTTGTTTACTTGAAGAAGGGAATGACTTCTTAGTAATTAGACTGAAAGGCTAATTGTATGAGAAAGGCAGGACAGCTGGCAGAAGATCCATCAAATACCTAAGTAGGGGACTGAAGCAAACATATCTTCCCTAATTACATCAGCCTTTACACCCCGCACCAACCACAAGCTTGTAATCCCTGCTTTTAAAGCTTTCTACCTCTCTGCCCTTGACTAAATCTCATCTCATTCCCTTGTCTCCCTTCTCTTCTCCCCCAATATTCTTCACCAGCTCATGTAGCTCCCTGCAGACTATAATTTTCAGCAAAGAGACAAATCAAACAACTGTACAGTATGACAATAAACCTTAGGTGTTCTGGAGCATGCTGTAGTAAAGCTGTGTAATAATGTAACCTTTTGATTAAAATAATATTTAAAAATAAATTGAGGGTGAATTTTATAAACATTTCTACTATGCTCTACTAACTTATCAAAAGTGAAGAGTTTAATACTGAGATCCCAATAATAACTAGGTAGGCTGAGACCATCCTTTAAAAATAAAGCTGGCAAGGCCTATCAAGCACTTTCATTCTATCCTCCCTTTGACCTCCTTCAATGCTTTTTATCATGTTGTGTCTTATCCTTGGATATGCATGCCCCTATTAATCAAACAGCTTTCATTTCCTCCTTCTTCAGCAAAAACTTTCCCAAACCTACCTATCACTCTTAGCTTTTCCTCTGTTGGGTCATTCCATGTCATGTGATCCAATGACTTTTACTGTACCATTTAAGCTACAAAGTTTAAAATTTTTAAACATGATTTTAAAAAATCAATGATATAAATTCCCCTAAAGTTGTATTTTTGATTTCATATTTCTAAGAACTTCCTGCAAAATTTTATCTTGGGATCTCAACGTGATTACATTTTAAAAAAATATTTTGTACATACATGGGTTACTGGGTTCTATTTAGGATAAATGGGTCTTCTTGGAGTAAAATGTAACAGAATAAACAAGACTTCAAACCATAATATCAGTTACTTCGGGCATTTCTTTTAAAAGTTATTCAATTAAAAGGTACCGGTATCTGAAGTGGAAGTTGGATATCTATCATGAACGCATTAGTTGAGATTCCTGCACTGCAGAAGGTTGGACTAGATGACCCTTGGGGTTCCTTCCAACCCTAAAATTCTATGAAATCTTGATTTCTATCCTGCTTCTGCATCTTGCCCATCTAATGTAGATACTAAGCACTCAAGCACTGACTATGTAAAGTTTGTGCACACATCAGTGTCTGCACATTGCTGAAGTTATAGAAATATTAACTAGCATTAGTAGTAGCAGTATATAGCAGCTCAAATTAAAAAAAAAAGAACTTCAGTAGCTAAAAATATACAACCTTTTGTACAGAGGTATTCCATTCCATTCCTTGCAAAATGCTATTTCTACATCATTGCAAGAAAAATGACAAAAACTTATTCTTAACAAAGGAAATCCACACAACTACATAAGCACAACAAATCTACTTACCCATCTGGCTAGAGCTTCCTTAATAGTTGTTGCTTTTGCCTAACAAAAAAATAGTATGGAAATACATTTTAATTAATTTAGGAAGTCAACTAGTTAATTTTGTTTTGCTTTGATCAGTTATATTTAAATACATAGACATACTGTACTATATTATAAATACATCCTTGTCAAGGCATGAGGGAAGTTCAATGAATGATTTAATATGTAATCAAAGTAAGTGAATGTGTTAAGACAACACAAATTTTCATCTTATTTGGGAATATTGGCTATTCCTCATTAGATCAAAGCAAAAAGGGAAGAACCAGGTTTAAAGGACACAGTAGCAGTAATTGCAGCTGACAATTCCATTTGCTTATTATTGGATTTGAAGTAATAGGTTAAACTTTGGTAACTTGGATATAAACTGGAAGGAAAGTACTACTTTAAATTTGTCAACAACTTTGGTACACGAAGGAAAGTATCAGTACAACTGTACAGCCTGTACCATTGTAAATGAAATGGTATTTCCCATTTAAACACATTTCACATCAGTACTGTATTACAGTATTAGTTAATTCACTTCACTAGTCTATTAAAGTCTGCAAATTTTGTTCAGCATTAGCTGAATCTCAAGATTATAAAAAGGGTGGGGTAGAAAACTGAATTCTAAAATATTTAATCCCCCCATATGAAGATTTAAAAAAACATTTTTGGTTTTAAAATGACTTTAAAAGTACTGTACAATTATTTCTGTACCAGCATTAACATAAAGCTATCTGGATTGTGTTATAATCTTCAGTCACATATATTCTTAGATATTTTTATACCAAACAAAGAAAAGTCTCATTAGCAACATAACACCAAATATTAGTTCAGTAATTTTTTTTTAAAAAACCTTCTGTCCCAGTTGTCACATAATCAGCAAATTCAAATGCTACCAACTGACAGGATCAGCACAGCTATGTGTGTCACGTCTTCTCTATAAAACATGAGCATTGTTTTTCTTACATTGAAGCTTTAAGCAGGGCAATGCTGCATGAAAGGGGCTTATGGGGCTTTTAAAGGCTCTGCTTTGCTTTAGATACAGTTTTAGGTATTTTGCTTTTATTTTTAAACCCAAGATAGAGTCAGGCTCTTAGTTGCCTGAAAGAGTACCCGACCAAAAGGGATACTTTACAGCTTTACAGAGATAGGCAGAGCACAGACGTAACAGATCTAATTTGTTTCTTTCTTATATCCTAAAATCTACCAACCAGATCCAGGTGCAGAAGACACACAGTAAGAATCAAGGGTGCCTCTGAATCTGGGAATTTGTTATCAGTATCAACACTAAACTGAGTTCACAGTCTTTCCACACCCAGTTACTTTCCTTCATTTCAGCATTTAGATGGGATACGGTAAGTCATTTGGTTGTTGCTATTGTTGTGATACTTGGGAATTAGAAACACAAAAAGCCCCTTCCTGCAAATTACTCAGAGATACTCCAGTAGATCCTGATCTACCTTTTGTCCACAACTACTTTACAGTAAAATGAAAAACTCCACAGCCCAAAGCAGAAAATTTAAGTATACACAATATATGCATTATGTCATGGAATTTATATTGAAAATTCTTTTACAAATTCACGTGAATGTCAACTTTTAGCTCATTAATGCAGATTCAATTTGTGCCAATCTCAAAAGTATTTATTTACCATTCTACTGAAGGCGACTTCCGATACTCAGACAACTCCTTGATGAAGAACAATTTATGTTGATCTCTCTTCAAATGAGCAGCCTTCCTATAAAAAACAACAACCCCAAAGTGTTAGGATGAGCTTCAATCACCATAGGGATAATCTCCAAATGAAAGACAAATGAAAAAGGTTCTATGTTGGCTTATGGTTCTTTTATTAACAATAGCTACCATTTATATAGATTTTTTAGAGTGATTACAGCGATTCAAATACATTGTCTCTCATCTACTCTTAAGTAAAACTCGCCTTAATCTGTGCTGTGTGAGGCAACAGTTATCCCTTGCACTCACTAAAAAAAAAACAAAAAACTTTTGACCCTCGCAGTATTTCTTTCTATACTCACTATACACTGTATATATTTTTTCGGTCGAGACCACCACTTCATGCATCAGATGAATCAAGTGAGCGCTGGCTCATGAAACCTTATTGCACGCTACAGATGAGGGGCTGGAACTGGTTTGCCTGACACAATTGTGAGCAAGCTCTAGGGGGTGAAAAGACTGAAGGAAAGAACCATCTCTCCGTGACACACACCCACCCCGGCCTCCCTGTTTCAATTTGCACGAAGGATGCAAGAACCATTCCCTCCCCTGAACTTTTCAAGGCACGTCCTCGAGCATCCCCTGCTCCACAGACCCGTCTCACACCACGCACAGGTCCCTCTGGCATCCCCAAAAGGCTCCTCTCTCCAGCCCCCGAGCCAAGAACTCTGTTCCCTCAGGCCGGGCACGTTCCTCCCCCTCTCTCCCCTGCCTCGACAGCCACCATCCCTTCTCCTCCTCCCGCAAACCGCGGCCAGCAGCTCTCTCCCCGCCATACACAAACAGAGACGGGGGGCAGAGCCTGTTCCCCGCGGGGTCTTCCCTGCGCTAAACCATGGCGCTTCCCTCCGCCTTCTTTGCCTCAGCCCAACTACCGCGCGTCCAGTCGCCTCCCCCCCCCCCCAACTCCTCGCCGGCCTCCTTTCCTACTCCGGTTGCAGCCCTCGAGCCGACTTACCATTATTATGATTCTGGTTGCTACCGTCTGCCGCTCCGGTTGCTATGGCACGCCAAGCCCGTGCGCATGCTCACCTGCAGGGAGGGAGGGCGAAGAGGGCCGGGGCGGACGCCTCTGGGAAGAAGGGTGAAGTCAACAGTTGGGATCATAGAGACTCACCTGAAAGAAATAGAACGGCTTCGATTCCGGAACTCTTCACCATGACCATAGAAACGGGGAGGAGGTAGAAAGGTCGCTGCGAGACAGATCCGACGCCCCCTGGTTTCCGGTGTTGTTTGCTGTGTGTCCACGCCTGTCTGTACAAGTGAGGCTGGATGCTGCGTTTGGAGGGGCCGGTTTAAAGTAGTGTAATGCAACTTTTCTGAAAACCGAGGGCGTATCTCAAGTGGTGTGATTCTTTCCTTGACAGCCAAAAGAGTCGGCAACAGAAAGTGACCACAGGCAGGCAAAGGGGGCTCCCGTTGCAGCATTTTTAAAAGTACCCTTCAACTGCCATGGGTCGCTTGCAGAAAAGAGTGGCAGTGCTGTATATATATATATTTGATGTTTCCAACTAATCTTTAGTGTTGTCTTGAATAGTCGTCACCTTCTCTGTCATGGCCCATCGCTTCCATTATTTAATATTGGCTAGATAATCATCACCATCCGTTCATATTAACTGTTATTGTTAACATAACCAGTCAACCCTGATTAATGCTCAAGAGAGCTGCTTACAGAGAGCTGCGCTTCAGATGAACTTAACAGGCCAGCAATGGAAACGTCTTTACGGTATTCAGAATGGATTATGTTAAAAGCCAGTGCTTTTTCTCTCTCGGGGGTTACTCAAGGGTATGCAGTACTGGCACCCTTTTGTCTAGAAGAAAAGCACTGGTTAAAGTTGTCATTATCCTCCAGATTTATTTATTTTTTAAACCCTGTCCAGTGTTTACTACATTTTGGAAAGTGCTGCAGATATTACTAGATATTATAGTACCACATAAATGTAAGATTGTACAGTGGTACATCGGGTTACATATGCTTCAGGTTACAGACTCCGCTAACACAGAAATATTACCTCAGGTTAAGAACTTTGCTTCAGGATGAGAACAGAAATCGTGCTCTGGCGGTGTGGCGGCAGCAGGAGGCCCCATTAGCTAAAGTGGTGCTTCAGGTTAAGAGCAGTTTCAGGTTAAGAATGGACCTCCGGAACGAATTAAGTACTTAACCCAAGGTACCACTGTATTGTTAAGTCATTTGTAAAATCTTATTCTGGCAGAAGATACAGGTTTCAAACCCTCAGTGAGTTAAGAACTTCTTTTGCATACAAAGACAGGCTGCAGTGGATTGAGCAGATGAGACCAATAGTGAGTCCACTGGTCAAGGCAGTTACTGCACATTCTGTAGAGGGAAATGAGGGGCAGATGGGGCTTCTTAAGCTGGGAAGGTAGCCCATTTGGAAAAGGAAAACACTTCAGGCGCTTTGATTCTTCAGAGGTTTGACATCACCCCCAAAGTACACACCATTGACTCCTGAGACAGACGGATGCTATACACTCTTTTATATATATTATATCATATATTGAGTAAATTGAACAATAGTGGGTTGCATCTATTGTTAGTTCTACTCAGGGTAAGTCAATGGATATGCAGTGGCCGAGGAAGGGGGTGTGGTGTGTCTGGGCTACCCTGGGTGTCATCACTGAAGGGGATGACAAAAAGATTAGTTTTTATTTAAAAATTGGGCTCACGAAACTTTTGTTCAGTCAAGAAACGTAAGGAAACACGTCTGGCACTGGGCGCCACACCACGGGGGCCAGCACTTACCGCAGAGCCTGCGATGTGCCCGAACCACGCGTCTCTTCTGGGAGTGATGTGGTGGCTTCAGTGCCTGCAGGCTCCACGCTGCTTGAAACGGCAGCATGGGGCTTGTGTCTGCCCACCGCCTCTTCCTCAGCTGCCCTATAACTGAGGGGGAGGCGGCGGAGAGGCTCTACACAGCTCACCCCCCAGCTGCAGGACGCGCACTCCACACAAGGCACCTGAATGCCCAACTTAGTGAGTTTACTTACGGAACTTAATTGAATACAACCCTATACAGTGGTACCTCAGATTACATACGCTTCAGGTTACAGACTCCGCTAACCCAGAAATAGTGCTTCACATTAAGAACTTTGCTTCAGGATGAGAACAAAATCGTGCTCCAGCGGCACAGTGGCAGGAGGCCCCATTAGCTAAAGTGGTGCTTCAGGTTAAGAAAAGTTTCAGGTTAAGAACGGACCTCCAGAATGAATTAAGTACTTAACCCGAGGTACCACTGTATGTGTGTACATATACAAGTGATTCCCCATTTATGCAGGGGTTATGCCGCAAATGGTAATTTTACAAATCCAACATTTAAATACATAATACTTTATAAAAAAAATACCCAGGCGGTGTATTTTTAAACTCAATGAACTACAGACAACAGACTAAGATCAAGGCAAATTATTTATGTGTACATGTCAGACGAATGGCTGTCTGACCTCTCTCTGTTGTTACTATTATTATTGTTATAATTACCATAATTTGCATTTATGAGACAGTGTCTCAAGTGACTTATGTTTTTATAGCTGTAAAACAATTTTTGCATGACTTAGCATACATTTTAATGTTTCTTTTCTTTTATTAACACAATACTTCCATTCCGTACATTTATAATATCAAAGAAAATAATTAAATCTGTGACATCACAAGGAGTAACATTAATCATAACCAAGTGCACAACAAAACTCTAGACATGAATCTGATAATTATAATACTAATATAAGGAAATTGTTGATCTATTCCTACTCAAAAAAGAAATCAAAGGAAAGAAAACTGACTTCACATTTCCAAATCTGAGTAATAGTCTTATAATAAAACAGACATACATATTTTTTTCCAAAATTTCACTTCCCAAAATATAAATACATTGTAAAACCATAGGTCTTTATTGGTTTTAAACAATCTCTTAGTATAATCAACAATTTTCTCACATTTTGCTAAAACTTTATTTTGTCTCTGTTCTTTTTTTTTTAAGTCAGTTTAGCCATTATTGCTAAAGCCCATGATTTTCTGACTCATTCTTTGATTTTTGTTATGGTTGGCAATCTCCAATACTTTGTGTAAAGAATTCTGCCTGTTGTAATAATATAGGAAACTAATTAGCTGTAATTCCTGCACAGCAGAGCTTTTGACTAGATGACTGTAGGATCCCTTCCAACTCTACAATTCTGTGATTCTATGATTCTAATTATTTGTCTTCTGACTTCACTGATAGTTTAATGCAATGTAAAAAAACAGCACAGGATGGAGTGGGACAAAATTAAAAATACATCAGAAAAATAAAAACATTATTGACTAGAAGGGTTCATGAAGCAGTAACATTAATGGACCAATCCATTAGGTAGAAAAAAGTGGTGTTTAAGACAAGGAGTGTACAGTCCCACTGCAATCCTCATTTGCATTACTTTATGCTGGTCTCATTTTGCTTCATATCAAGGAGAGAGTAATCCCACACCACATCCAAGAAAATTATGGCCAAGTATGGTTTTCGTTTTAAAATTAGAAGGTCAGGCTATGTGTGACTCTAGTCTTTTCTATCCATGTTTTAAAGACCTCTTGGCTTTGTCTTCAAGTAGTAACATTGGCTGTGTTTGCTAAAGGTAGACTTATTCCAGAAATTTCAAGATAGCAGAAAGTAGTCATATTCTGGATCTTTGGTTTCAAAATGGCAGATTTTTTTTTGCTGGTTTTGAAGAACAAGTTTATTTGCTTACCTTTAAATTCATTATGGTTTGCCGCCTTTGATCTTTTAAGAGCTGGCCAGGGTTTACAGCTTCATATTTACACCCTCAACCAACTCATATACCTGTGTGTTTTTATCGTTAGAGTTCTTCATCCCAAACACATTTTATCATATATACCTTTGGCTGTTCCACTCTGAATCAGTCCAATCTTACCTTGTCATCAGTTTACATAATAATTTAATCCAGCTAGGTCCATACAACATGTTTCATGTCTTTCCTTCCTCCTCAGGCCCTTTGGCACATTTACCCACAACTTCAGTTGCCGGTGTGCAGCTATTTGAGTGATCATCTCAAGTGGAACTGCAGAAACTCCAAAATCTTCCCCCAAGAATGTTCTTGGGCATGGGCATGAGCTCTCCTCTCTCCGCCACCCAGAATAGGCACCCCTAAAACACGGTCTAAGGCTACCAGACAAACTGGGGTAAATACCGGATTAATTTGATGGCCTGCTCCAGAGTAACTCAAGAGTGTAAAGTTGTCCTTCCCGTGTTGGCACAGGCACCCAGTGGCTATCTCAGCATACAAAGAACTCTTCCAAATGCGGTCTTCTTCCCCGACTACAAAAAGGAAGTGCCCTTCTGCTTTTTCTATGGGGATGCGACTACGTGAATTAGCTGGGTCCATTGGGTCGTCCAAGGCTTCGTAAATGTCGAAAACACCATTCTCTGAAATACTGACTCTGCTCATATTAAAGCAAAGCCCAGGCAAAGTAAGTGCGCCATAATGGAGGGCAGTGGCTGTGATGGAGCTGCAACCAGA